ATTTATTTATTTATTTATTTATTTATTTATTTATTTATTTATTTATTTATCTATTTATTTATTTATTTATTCATTTATTATTTATCATATTATCATTTATTTCCACCTATCATTTGTGTTTAATCATTTGTGATTCCCTCTAAAAGGCATGCCAAACCACTATGGGACATCGTAACAGACTAAATGACAGAATCGAATGTTAATCATTCAGATGTTTATTCAGTCAATATGGTTTTTGTATAAGCACACTTCTAAGACATACTACGATGTCAATGCGACAATAAGAAACCATTTGAATGATTTGTGCATTATTTTGATCAAGTATATTAAACGACGAATTATTACGTCACTTCCTGATGAAGTCGGGCAGTAGTAAAAAAAAATCTGGTAGCCATGAATTTCAGTTAGCTTGCCACCGACCACTGCTGAGATCACTCGTGTAAAACCATCCATGTCCAGGCACAAGAAGGATTTTTGGATAGTTTCGCTGCTTCTGCGTACACCCAGCGGCACACCATCCCGCCGACCAGTCTACTGTGAATCGGTAAGTAGGTCGCTTTCAAGCTCCGGTGCTAGAGAGTTAGCAGTCGCCAGTAGCATTTAGCCTTGCTAGCAATTGTGATGATGATTTACTGCTGCTATGTGGGATTAACCCACAATGGCAGATGTCCAGTAACGGCAGCAAAATTATGCTTATCAGGGCTTGCATTCGCCGCTGTGGCGTTGAAGCATTCCGTTTCTCAAATGAACTGGAATAGGTGACTAACGCCCGAGCTTAATATCGTTGTTATATATGTAGCATTAACATGTCAGTCGCTCAGTGTCTGTTGATGGACAGTGGTAAGTATCATCCCAGTATGCAGTTACTGAAGACGTCCTCATTCCTGTGAGATGTTTAGTCAACCGAACTCCTTTAATAAACCTAATTGTAAACGTCTTGTGTTATCGTGGAAATGCACACTGCAGCACCTATAAAAATGATGTCGGTCACTGTTGACCTTTTAATCCATAAATCAGGTTTTCAATATCGCTTCACCGTTATCTTAGCTGAGGTATCAGTACACCATTTACCTTTTATTCGGTATCCTTTTGTATTTGGTCTGTACTTAACATTTTACAAATATAGTTTGGAGGATTTAAAAGGCTTAGAGGAAGCTTCTTCAAGCTGAAGGGGGGACACACCTTCGTGACGTTTCATTAATTATGCTTTATTGTACAAAACAAATAATTTTAATGTATCTTAATTTCTTTTCATTAGGATCCAGCTGGCTCGGATACAAGGCTAGAAGACCTCGGCACCTTGGTGTGCCAGTTCATTTCAAGACCAAAGGATTTCTGAATCCAGGTTTGTTGATCACCAAGCTAAAAACTGACTCGATACAGTTGGGATCAAGATCCCTAAGTCTTTGTTTTAGAATCAGTAGACGCAAAGTGAGAAGCTTTTTTGACGTTCTGAGTAATAGAAAACATGCTAGTCATTCTGAGTAAATTTGAATAATTAAAATTTAATTTAACTTAAATCTTTTTCAAGTTTTTTTTTCCTTTTCTTTGGCAAATGGCAGCTCATTCTCTCAATTTCTGTGTTTTGCCCCTCAGGGTTTGACAGAGCTCATTGCTCTTCTCTTTCATTACAAATAGGATCAATCTCTAATCTACCCTCTGATTGAATGCAATTGATGTAACTGATTGAAATTGCTGATTAGACCCCTTTTTTATCTCACTGCTCGTTTTTGCTTTATCTAACTGAAAAGAAAGTTAATGCAGTAAATATAATCATCAAGAGGCAATATTGTGATGCAATTAGAAGTAAAAATATTTACTATGTGTTTATATCCTGTCCTGATCCAGTTATTCTCTCTCTTGTTTAGATTTGTACCAGAAGATGAACGGCCTGTCTGTACGAGAGCTATGCTGCCTCTTTTGCTGTCCCCCTTGTCCCAGCCGCATTGCAGCCAAACTGGCTTTCCTGCCTCCAGAGCCCACCTATGCTTTACTCCCTGACCCAGATCCGGGCACGGGCGCCGCAACCGTTTCCACATCCAGCACCGGGGCCACCCCATCTTCCCTCGGTGCCCCCGGATTGCGCTCCCGACTGAGCGCTGGTGGTGGTGGTGATAGAGGAGGGGGAGGAGGTGGAGGAGGGGGAGGCGGCGCGGCGGCGGGGGCTGCTGGTACCGGGGGCAGCAGTGGCAGTAGTGGAAGCGAAGGCAGGTGGAAGTTGCATCTCACAGAGAGGGCCGAGTTCCAATATTCGCAGAGGGAGCTGGACGTGACGGACGTGTTCCTGACCAGGTCAAGCCGAGGGAACAGAGTCGGATGCATGTACATTCGCTGCGCCCCTAGTGCAAGGTGAGACACCCCCCTTAGGCATTTCTGAAAACACGAGTTATAACCCCAGTTGTTTGCAGTTAGAGATAACAACCACAAACAAACAACCAGACCCTTCAGCATCGAGCTTCCTGGTGTCTGAGCTGACTTTGTGCATTCCTTTTAATTCTTGGTCCCAGGTTCACAGTGTTGTTCTCCCATGGGAATGCGGTGGACCTGGGTCAGATGAGCAGCTTCTACATCGGTTTAGGCACACGCATCAACTGCAACATCTTCTCCTACGATTACTCAGGCTACGGCGTCAGCACTGGCAAGCCATCTGAGAAAAACCTCTATGCCGACATTGATGCTGCCTGGCACGCCTTGCGCTCCCGGTAAGCCGGCCGGAATTCTCCGTTTGAGCCAAGCAGAGCGAGAAAAGGGCGTTTTTTTGGATAAATTGTCTAACAGTGTTTGCAACAGATGTTTCATGTTTAGGAGAAATGTTATTTTGTTGTCTCACTTTTAGTAAAAAGCACTCCCTCTTTTGACCTTGCTGCCATTTTCTGACTGGCATCAGTTGGCTGATCACAGTTTTAACAGTGTCTGAAGTGCCGCTTTAAAATCGCTGGACAGATTCTCCTGTTAATAAGTTTTCTGTCTGATAAAGGAGCTTAAAATATGTTGAGAATTCACATTTCCAGGTGGCGTCCAGGAGAATGCCGAACTGTCAAAACGTAACTCTGCTGCCACTCAAACAGCACAGTGACGACCGCCATGTTGTTTTCTGAGATGTCGTGTGTGCGGTTGCGTGCAGCCTTAGGTGTATTCACAGAATGACAGCAACTGTTGTTTTGTTTTTGTTTTTTTTATACGTGAAAGCTTGATGCATTTGTCTTCCAGGTATGGCATCAGCCCTGAGAACATTATCCTGTACGGGCAGAGCATTGGCACGGTGCCTACGGTGGACTTAGCATCACGGTTCGAGTGTGCTGCTGTGGTCCTCCACTCTCCTCTCACCTCTGGCATGAGAGTGGCCTTTCCCGACACTAAGAAAACCTACTGCTTTGATGCCTTCCCAAAGTAAGTTTATCCTCTGAGAGAGGAAACAAAGCGACAGCTGTAGTCGGTTTAGTCCGGTCTGTCCCAATGACACCTACCCCACAAAAAACGACTGACTGAAAATAGTATTAAAAACACAGATTTTAATTCTCACTTTGTGCAGCATCCCATAATTAAGATGCATGGTGCTAGTGTCACGTGTTCCAGTAATCAGACTTACTGGTAACAGCTCGGTAGTACGGAAGACTTTGAGAAAGAAAGTGTGTCACAGGTCTCAGTTTGTGGATGTTTTGGGCATGTCACTGTTTATGACAGCAGCTGAAGCAGCGAGCGAAAAGGGCACGGCCTTTTGTTTTCAGTCCAAATGCTTACTGAGAGTTGATAGGGGATGCGTAACACAGTGACATTCATGTGCTACTTATCCCAGCTTTTCTGAGAAATGCTTTGATACTCAACAGTGAGCCTGTAGTTTTCTAAACATTGTACACTTTCTTAGCTTCATCTTCTGATGGTTTGTTTCTGCTTTGTAACTTTCCCAGCAGGAATGATTAACAGGCTCATTTCCGTGGTAACTTAGAAAATGGGCCGCGATCACAAAAAATGATTTTTGTAAAAACACGATTGTACAGCTAAGAAGTCAAATGGGGCTTCTTCAGCCCTTCTTTCTGAGGACTTAAAACTAGACAGCCGGTGGGTGACATTAGGCAGAAAGCAAACAGTCTTTTATTGAAACCGATGCCTTGGAAGGATGGAAAAAAAGCCCAGATGTCGAATTTTTTGCATCTTTGACAGGGGCCAGATTGTTATGACCAGACAGTGGGGTTCATAGCATCTCCACAGCTGCAGCTCTTTTGGGATATTCTCAGTTGGCAGTTGTCAGGGTAACCGCAAGTGGGGAAGGGAAACTGGTGAACTGGCAGCAGGGTCGTGGCTTGCTAAGGGCTCATTGATGTATGCTGGGAGCAAAAGGCCGGCCCGTGTGATCCAGCAGAAGAGCCACTGTAAGTCAGATTGCTGCAAAAAATGGACCCTGGCTCTGATAGAAAGGCCCACGTGCCTCCAGTGTGATGGTGCCGCATCCACTCACAACGCCTCAATGGGTTTGGGCTGTTTTGGCAGGGAAAGGGGAGCTGCTCAGTAATAAGCAGATGTTCATAATTCTGTGGCTGATTGGTGTTATTTGATATGGTTGAACAGCGTGACAATAATCCTAGGTAATAAGGCAACACGGCATTGTTGGCAGGTTTTTTCTCTGTCAGAATTCACCTAAATTAGATCAGATCACTTACCTGAAACAGTTATGGGATGATGTTTGCTGCAATTATTCTTATAAATATCTAAAGACGGTTTAAATTTGTTTATGTACAGAAGAAACTACAAACCTCTAGCATCCACAAAATCAGAACAAGTCTAAACAGACAGACCGAAATGCAGACTATTTGTTATTTGTTGCAATGTTCTCATAGCCGAAAGATAAATCAATTCTGATTCCCGACTCTTCTAAACTCTTCCAGCATCGAGAAGGTGTCAAAGATCCCATCTCCCGTGCTCATCATTCACGGTACAGAGGACGAGGTGATCGACTTCTCTCATGGCCTGGCCCTTTTCGAGCGCTGTCCCAAGGCCGTGGAGCCCCTCTGGGTGGAGGGAGCGGGCCACAACGACATTGAGCTTTACAGTCAGTACTTGGAGAGGCTAAGGCGCTTCATCAATCAGGACCTGGCTGCACAGCACGCCTGAGAAAAACAAAACAGCCTCCGTGTTTGTGTGTGCGTGACGTTGTGTGTGAGCGTGTACGTGCGCCTGTAAGCGTGTGAGAGAGGGTAAAGGCATGTTTGCAACCAATGTGTGAAACATACCTAAGAAAAAGAAGTATGTTTGATTTTTTAAAAACTAGTTTTCTTTTGGTCACAGCCGTGTGTCTCTGAAGCAGCACACTTGCAGGTTAAAACACACGTGTTGTTTCCTGTTTTTAATGTGAGAGCCTTTTTTAAAAACTCATCAGTGTTGGAGAAACACTAAAGACAAGAACCGATATGAAGCATTTCCACAAAAAGCAGCGTCCAACCTGGAGAAGTCACGACTCAGCTGTAATTTGTCCACATCTTGAATCGGAGAGAAAAAAAAGGAAAAAAAGCTTCTTTTTTTTGTTTGCCTCTAAAGGCACACAGATGCGTGACATGTTGGGGAGTGCACGTGCTACGACGTGAGTGTGGCGTGTACATTCGTATCCCTGTGGATCTGTGACGCCTGAATATTGTGTATCGCGATTACCGATGGAAATGAAGGACTCCTGATGACGGCTGCAAGTGTAGGAGTCGGATGGAGACTTCTCTACACTGATGTTTGTGTTTAATTTTCTTTTTTTTTTTGTGTGTTTGTATGAAGAATACCTCCACAGCTTGACCCGCTCTCTTTCCGTGGGACTAACTGGTCAAGCATGTGCTCCTCTCCTGCTCTCCTTGTTTACCTTTTAATGGACATCCATTGGACTGCCAGGGCATTTCCCCAAGTCGTTCAGCTAACACTAACCTAGTCTTTACGTTTGGTTTGGGGGTCCACCTGTGGTCCTCTCGTTGTCGGTTCTATCCTGGAATATTTTCACAACTTGCACGGCTGTTGGGTGTCTCATACTTTCCCTTATTTTGGACTCTGAGAAAGTCGTAGAATGGCCGGCTTCCATGTCATTACCTGGCCCTTTAACTATTCAGAAAAGCATCAACTTTATAAAGGGAATTAACAGGATTTTCCACTTTAGGGACATTATCCCCAGTGCTACACTGTTAGCTATAGAATAGCAGGTGTACTACGCCATTTCCATGCCTCATTAGACTGTTTGGCTCTAAACAGAGTGTTTTAGAGCCTTTGTGTACTAATGGATGGCATTAAAAGGTTTGACAGTGCAAATGAATAGGACGGATTTATGGATAAGTTTTACATCTCGTCCTTTTATTTTTATTTTATTTTTGTAAATCTGCTTATTTGGTTTACTGCTGACATGTTACCAATTGTCTCTATTAAGTGAGTCCAGCCAGGCGAAAAACATCTCGGCACATTGTGCACAGCTGGAAACGACTGGTTTTTCTCTTTGTCGTCTGAAAGGGGTTGTGTTGTCATCCAGCCATTAGCAGGCAGGGAAATGGGCACATTTTCAAAATGTCAAGCTACACTTCTAAGTTTGAAGTGCTTCAGTGGAGTTTTTGTGAATAATTCTGCTCTTTGGAGCTCGATGCTGTTGTCGGATTTGGAGACTTTGATGAAAAAAGGGGGACAAAGTAGCTGCTTGGTTCATCAAATTTTTTGGAGTTTATGTCCACTTTATCCAGAAATATTATGAACTGTGGGAACTATACTGAATAACTTCTAATCGTGTCTTGTTTTAGTAGCACTCATCACCATGTTTAGCCAGTCTCCTTGTGCACAGTCACCCTCAGCACATTTTTTATTTTATTTTTTAAAGTGTTTGTCTTGATATAAAGAATCCTGATGTGTTTGACTTAGTGTGCAGCCATGATCGTTTCAGAACAGTACTTGCAATTATTATAATTAACAATGTGATTTGGATCAGGTGCCAGGATGGGAAATACTGGTTGCTTACTGGTTCTGGATAACCTCTGTGGCCCTAAACGTACAGGAGCTCTCTTATGGGTGGCAGCACGCTTCAAAGTCTGACCCAAGCCATATTTGAGCCTCTCACTGTTTGTGTGGTGCAGGTTCCACCACACATATATACACACACGCACACACAAACCTTAGCGCATCATCACACACATGCAAACACAACACACACGTGCACACACTCGTATATTTACACATTTATATATATATATATATATATATATATATCGGATCAAGCATGACAAAAGCAGGTCTTAAGTTCAGCACTATTGTATAAAGCATCCAAAGTGTAATAAGGGTATAAACTGTAAGTCTTTGCGTCTTTTTCATTTTATTTGCTGTGTTCTGCAGGCTAGCATCAAGGATACAAGTTTTTTCTGTGCAGATAAGTACTAACGGGTCGTGTGTACTGAGGCACTACGAGAAGGTGGTTGCTGTGCCAGGGACCCATCAGTTTCAGTGGCGATTGCTGCGTTTTGTCAAAGGGAACATTTATTAACCTGCACTGATCTGATTACTCCATTTTTGGGAGTGCAAGTGGGTCTCTGTTAAGAAGAAAAAGGGTCACAAACACCTCTTCCTTCCTGTCATCGTGTTGAACAGGGGAATATTTCCACTCTCATCCTGTGCTTTTGCATCTGAAAACTGAACGGTGGACGTCTGTTACCTTCTCAAACGAGGGATCTGAGCCGTCTGATAAATTCGAGAGAGCCAGCGCGCCTCTCTGGAAGCGAAGGTAGTCCTCCAGATTTTCCCGGACGGGTTGGGTTATCAGGGAAACCTCTGGATCCACTTTTCAGTCACGTTTTTTTTTTTTTTTAAAAAAAAAAAAAAAAAAGGAAAAATATATTAGAAAAAAAAAGGAACAGGGTGGAAACTGAAACTTGCTGTTTTATCGATGCACCACTATGGTTGAAGTATATTGTATCCTCTGGCCTTGAATGTTTATGGGGGGGTTGGGAGGGCTGGGGTGTGAGCAGTAAAAACTGTATGCATGTCTGTTGTGTTTTGCAGAGCAAATGACGGGACGAAATGTTATCTATTGTGTAGTCTATGTGAGGGTAAAGCTGAACTCATGGCATTGGAGCATTGAAGAGCTGAAGAAAAAAAAAAAAGAAAAAAAAGGACTTTATTAGAATTTTTTATTGCTGATACTAACTGATGTACTGTTGAGTTTTGTGCTAGAATTTGAGTGGGTCAGTATGTGGGAGGGCGGGTGGGTAGTCTAAACATTATTAGTGGACTGTTTATATGGTTACTGTACTTAACCTATTCTATTCTTTCTATTATGATTTGTAATTTTATGTTGCTTTTTTTGAACTGAGAATACGATGTAATGAAATTAAATCATGGGACTGAATCTTGACCTTTTTATGGACAACATAATAAAATCACTTCTGTACAAAATGTGAAAATAAGTAGTTTGACAATTTCTGTTTTACATTTGATAAATTAATTTATTACAATAAGAGAATGGAACAGCCGCAGACATGTTTCACATGACATGATGAAATCAAAGTGTGTTACAGAGTGATTTTAAATAGTGAGGAAACAATGCTGATAACGTCCAGACTGAATGACCTATGAGAGGGGCGGCACGGTGGTGTGGTGGTTAGCAACATCGCCTCACAGCAGGAAGGTTGAGTTTGTGGAGTTTGCATGTTCTCCCTGTGTCCGCGTGGGTCTTTTCCGGGTTCTCTGGCTTCCTCCCACACTCCACAAACCTGCATGTTAGGTTGATTGGACATTCCAAATTGCCCTTAGGAGTGAGTGTGCGTGGTTGTTTATCCTTGTGTTTGGCCCTGCGATGGACAGGCGCACTGTCCAGGGTGTACCCCACCTCTCGCCCATTGACCACTGGGATATGCTCCATTTCCCCCCGCGGAATAAGCAGTAATGATAATTGATGGATGGATGACTTATGACAAACTTTCCATAGTGACTGTTGGTGTTTAACTGATATTAAAATTTGCTCTACAACTTGACACACTTTTTTGATAAAAAAAAACAAAAAAATATTAAAAAGCGATGGAAAATACATAGATAAAATGTAACTGCAATTTTAAAGAAAAAGAAAATTCAATATTTACAAGTGGAATTAAGAAAAGGTCAATCGAAAAATCTTTTATCTCAACGCTTGACAGTCTGGTGCTGAATGCTCTGTGGGGATTGACTGCCCTCTGCTGGCTAATTGTGGTCAGGAAATTTGAATATAGTGAATCACTGGGAGCCACTGAATTTTTCAGAAAATATTTGCAGCCAAGAAATGGCTAAAGGATTTTATAGTCTGGTTGAGCTCATTTCCTGTGTGTGTGTGTGCACATTGGGATAAACAAAGAAAATGACAGCCAAGGCTCCAACAACTTCTTCTTGCTGTGCTCAGCTGTCCAACGGCCAGGAAATAAACATGGCTTCAGCAGGCTGCCTCCATATGGCTTTTCTCAGACAAAGCCTACCAACTGGCATTTTTTTGATCTGTCAGCAGAGAACCGGTATGGTCCCAACTGATAATAACATCATCCTGATGACTCTGCCAGCACAGCTAGCCGTGCGGTACGTCACCAGTGGCCTGGTTCAGACATACCAGAAGCATCTTCATGCTGACCCACAGAATATTGAGAAGAACCACAAAAAATAAAATAAACAAAAATTGGGGGGCTCAATTGTACTAGAAAAGAACATGTTTGTTTGCATCACTGAGCGTTTCTTTTGACAAACTTTCCACTTAAATACTGAATGTCCCCAAGTATAAAAGTGACAGTTTTGGTGTTTTGTTCAGAGGGTGTCGTGTGTGCCGTTCTGTTTCCTGGTTCCTGACTGAAAAAGAAGGAAACAAAAGGACACGTTGTGAAAAATAAACTTTAATCAGATCAATGCAACTTGATTCCCTCCCCGAAATAAAATGGCTTTAAGAAAGTATACAAGTGTAAATGTCACTGTGTTGTCTCTTCTATGACATTATCTGTGTCTCTCCAGTGTTTTGATGGAGTTTTAGTCTCCTCCTTTTTACATTAATTTGTTGTTACAGATGTCTTGTGTTTAAATGTCACACTCTCCTGTAACTCTTTCAATCCAACTGTACTTTAAAAGTCTTTTTCTTACTCATCCTGTGATCCTTATGATTAAAGATATTAACAGAATTTCTGGTTTGGATAAATAGAGTGTTATTTTCAGAAATATTTTCAAGAATATAACTCCATATATGATTACTGAACTTTTCATACTTTACATTCTAAATTCAGTAAAAATAATAAATTATGTAATATAGTCAGAGAGACACGATTTCACTTTGACATTTAAACAAACCTACCTTTTCAAACTAGGATACTAAGCACAACTTCAATATTTAAAAACCTGAGCAGCCTCCCAGGAGCTTCAGTCTTTTGGAATGCAATCGCTTATCTGTTCTCACACTGCTGATCTGAACCAGTAGAACCACTTGACTAGTGAGTCTGCAAGTAATTGTTTTAAAACTGGTTTACACCATCACATCCCTTAGCAAACTTCCCTCTACCCAAACTGCCGTCTTCTCTCTTTCATGTGTGTGTGTGTGTGTGTGTGTCTACTCACTCTTTAGTTTGAAGACCATTCAGGCAGTGCTCCCAAAGAATCCAGCTGCTCCTCCAGAGCTGTGATTCTTAGCCCAATGTAACCAGACACCAAAAGCAGCAGCACCACTCTGCAAATACACAGGATGATGTCCTGAATGCTGCCCTCAGATTTCTGCAGTCCTCCAGAAGACTTTCACGCCAAAAGTGAAAGAGCAAGCTGAACCCAGGCGAGGACATATTGTACGCTTCGAACAATAAGATATCAACTAATTCCATCTGGCATGGAAAATCTGACAATAACATGCCTAAACCACCTCTAGGTTTAAAATCGTTCTTTTTCCGTGACAGTCATCGACATACCAAAGTAGGTGAGCTTTTATCTTGTTGACCTTGATGCATGTCTGATGTGCAAATAACACTGAATTAAACAAAAAAAAAAACAACACAAGCAAATATGAAATGTGTAACTGAGTTCTGTCAGGTTTAAAGGGAATATAAGTTTGACACATTTAGAAAAACACAGCGTCTGCTCACTGAAACTGCCAAAGGAATGGATTGGAGTAAAACATTTCAATCTCTTTATCCTGTTAATATAATACTCACAGCATCATGAATATGTAAAAGACGATCCTGAGATCCTTGATTTCTCTGAACGCGGACAGCGGCATCACTTTCTTGGTGACACTCCCAATCCTCGACTCATCTAGCGAAGATGACGTCACTGTTAAGCATCAACTCAGCATGAACGATGCAACGCTTTCCACTGTGGCTTTACACACCTCTGTGGTCTTCATACCCTAAGCTCTGACGATCGGAAGCGTCTCTTCTGGGAACTGAAAAGGGGCAAAATGTTCTGCTTTTTATATATGCTGAACTGTTCGGAATTATCCAGTGAAGTAATATCCCAGCTTTCCACATCTACTGTACCTTGACTGGACATCTGTGGAAGGTCTCCATGGTAGATGCCACCCAAATCATTGTCGATGCTGTCCTCCAAACTGGAATAACTGGAGAGCTAAAGACCAGAACATTAATGTGGGAATACTTTGACATGGGGCCTTATGCTCTGTATTCCCTGACAACTTACCATGTCATGATCGGCTTCGTTCTCTGCAGAAGAGAGGTGGGGGCTGCTGTTCGGACTTCCCTCCTGTTCAAAAATGTTAAAAAGAGAAGAGAGAGTTCTGTCACGTGATGCTTTAATGTCTTTGTGTACTGTGTGTGTATAGAGGGGGGTACACCCACAATACCTGTGTGTGTGAGCAGACAGCTTGGAGGAGTTTGTAACACTTCTCCCGATTTCTCAAAGACACGAACAAATACTGAGAGGATCAAATAGAGACGGGAAAGGGTTAAATTAAAAACAAGACAAATTCTAGGTATCACTTCAAGATTTGGCATGACAGGCTATCGGATCCTTTCCATTTTTTCTTTTTATTGATTGGTGGTTCATTTGGGTCAGGTGGAAAGTTAACTTCCTGAACAGAATAAAAGAGGGACACTGTTTGAAAATGTTGAAGAATAGGACATTAGCAGAGGTGTGTCACATTGGTAAATATTTCATGCAGATATCTATAGTTATAGCTAACTTACAGTGCCCGCCACCTAAAAAGTACAGTGTATAATTCGGAATATATATATATATAGTGATTCTACAATCATTGTAAATGGATTTATTTTTTAGTGCCATCTTATGTTCTGTTGACTTCCAATTGAATTTAGTCGCACAGTTACAGTATACTTAAAATGTGACACGAAGACAGTGCCATGATAGCTCAGCTCTCCCGGTTCCCTTTACACTCCGCGTTCTGAAAAGAATTCGAAGCCCTATGCATTTTTAAAGGCGTGTGGCATCTGACCTTTTCTCCACTGGACGTTTGAATGGACAGCATAGACAGAGCCGAGTTATGTTTCTTGATCTCCTTCACAGTGGAAACTGGAATAACCACCTGCAATGTGAGAAAGAAATCATTACGTCTTTTAAACGCTTTTTACAACTTACATATCTAACTCTCTCTCTCTCTCTATATATATATATATATATATATATATATATAGAAATACAGTTTTCCATTGACTATGTTATTTGCCAATGAACCTTTTTAAATAACAATTAAAAAAAGGTGAAGATTAAGCTTAAGAATAAGATGCCTTAATACTGTAAATGAAAGCAAATTCTGTGGCTATCCTTAACTAATGTTGACTAGGTCTTTATTTCTTTTGCTGGCATGGGAAGTCAAAGGGCTTCTCTGCTGGAAGAGAAAATCAAAACAGTATTCGAACTGGCCTGAAATGGGATTTGGAATCTTTAAAACCCACATACCCTTGTGGATTTTACACGTCAGTATTAACTTAATCGGTGTGCATGGGGCTTGACTCTGATGATGTTACCTTGGTGTCTTTGAGCAGCACAGACGAGTGGAAACACATGTGCCGTTCAGAAATAAAGAGCTTTCCATGATACAGCACCTCCTTCTGCAAGGCACAGGTGAATACTGCAACAGAGAGACACAATCACGTGCAGAGTTACAAAGAAGAGCAAAGCTCTCGGTGTCACCTGGACATTAGAGGCATGTTTGCTGAGTCACTAAGACATGCAGCCGTTTAGCTCTGCATTCAACGTGGACCACGCTGTAAACAAAGTACCAAACAGCACATAACAAGGCAGAATGTTGCATGCAAAAAGACCAAAAGTTGCCTGGAGGAGATACTGCAGCTCAGATAACTTACCGTGTGTCAGACTCTCGTCCTCAGGAATCTCTTCAAAGAATTTATGGAAGGCTTTACTATGCTTCAGGAAGCTCTGAGGGGAAAAACATGGAAGTGTATGCGTTGAATAAAGAGCCTGAGATTGTTCCAATACACAAGGAGCAGGTTGCTAATGAACTCAGGACCTGCAGCATAAGCTAATCTTACAGTGGTGATCATAGTGGAAACAGGTGTCGACTTCTCTGTGGCATGATTGACATTATGATTGACATTATAACTCATTCCAACTGCATTTTTTTTGTTTTTAGATACTGGAAATCAAGCTCCGTTTATAATCCCAACCAGGCCTCAAGGAAATATTTGGTTCTGATTTATCTTTTACGCTTCTGCATAGCCGCAGAAAGTTGCTCATTTTCTCTTAGAGCAGCAATCTGCTGCCAGCAGAGCTTCTACAGGAGGAGCAGGAGCACATCTACTTTATCCTGCCTCAATTTGACCTAAGAAATGGTTAAAGAGATGGGAATTTTAAAATGGTGTAACTCAATATTTTAAAAATTGTCCTGTAATAATATGGAATACTAAATTGAGTCTTTACCAGTTTTGCCAGTAGCTTCTCCATAAAAAATACCAAAAACAACTTTTAAAAAGTTTTTTACCAAACATAAAACTTAGAAAAATGGTTCATCTTTAAAGGACAGGTGACACTTGAAAGTCACAGTGACAAAAAAAAATCTATCAGTGTGACAACTTTTGTTTTACCTCCTTTTTGGGGGCTTATATTCATATGATGTACATAACTGAGCAAAGCTTTTTTAGATTTCAGTTATCCCTTTTAACTGTCTTTTTAAATAGATAAAAGGAGCCTTTCTGTGCCGCTTTACTAATATTTACAGGTCATGTGCTCAACACCCAAAAGGTTTCATGTAACATGACAATCGATATATGGACTTTTCCGTCTTTAAAAAAAAAAGTTGCTTCTAAAGTGTCTTGCTATTGGTGTCATATTGTCACTGTAAAACGAACATGGTAGGGAGTTTATTTGGGTCCATAATGCACTGGATAAGTGACATGTTCAGGGAAGAGGGACGAAAAGACTCACATGATCCCTTATGAACCCATCTGATCGTTCAAGATTCTCCTCTGGTATGGTCTCCTCCCTGAGGTCACACAAGGTTCAAAGGACACTATTTTAGCACCGATATGAGGGAGGCTTCAGGGTGCTTTAAACCGTCCTTTCATTTGCCTTCTGCTCTGTTTTATCTGATGATGATGATGATGATTATGGACGTGTCTACAGTACCTGAGAGAGATCCTGGCATTGTGGCTGAGATTCAGCTGCTGGGGGTCCACACCAGCAACATCCAGACTCTGCCTCCGACTGGATTTCTTACTGCTAAATATGGCGCTGCCTCTCCTCATGGTGAGGAGTCCAGTTCCCTCCAGAGAGCTAATCAAAAAGGGGGCAGGATGGATGTCAGACCGACGATCCAATTTTCATGACACACACAGCGGAGATGAATATAAAGCACAAAGATAACAGAGAATCCAAAAGCATCTCTAAATGACTGAAAGATCAGTCAGTGTGTTGGCTCTGAGAGCTAACAACTGGGATCAAACCAACTCCTGCGTGTTGCCTGTAAACACCTCATCACCTTCACTTTTGCTTGTGTGAGGTGAAAGATTTACTGCAGAGCGGGGAATGCGGTTCATTCACACTTTCAACTTGTAAGGAATCAACTAGAGAATGTGTTGTGCTTCAGAGGACAGATGACCGAGAAGTTGCAGGCACAAGTGTTGCTGAAGTCCAATTTAGTATCTCTTTAACTTTGAATAGTTTCGCATGTGAAAGTAAAGGGGTCCCAGCTTGAAAACCCCCAAATAAACCTCATATGAATTGCTCTCAGACTAAATGCAAGCTTAATAGACTTGTGGTTCTCGTCTGGAGGATGGTTTCACTTTTGTAAGCCAACCAGCAAGAAATGACAAAACTTAACAAACCTTTACAACCCAACACCAACTTTTACACTCTTTTAACGACAGGGAATATGTTTCAAAAGTTTAAAAAAGTATAATACTCACGAGCTGTCCAGTGAAAATCTTCTGTTTTTCAGACTCATCATGAAAAATTAACTCTACCCACGCGATCAGTCGGTCTCTTCCAGTCATACAGACAGTATAAGACAACTAATGCAAATCTCAATCTCCTTTGAGGAAATACAGGAAATTTTAAATGATTTTTTTTGTTCTCTTTCCTGGAAATCTCTCCATGCAGAACAAACAGGTGAGACGCGTGAATTACGACAGCCCACTTGGACAAGTGGATGGTTGTTAGCCAATGAGCTTCGAAGGGGCGGGAATTTCAACTCAAAGCAGCCAATCAACGAAGGCTGCTGATTGGCTCACGTAGATTGTGATCGTAGCAACTTCCTACCTGGGGCCGAGTCTGTGGCGGCCGTTTGGCAGGTGCTCGATTACGCACGAATAAACGACAAAAAGTATGCAGATATGGAGGTCATGTGGCAAAGACATGACAGTCACACTGCGTCCTGCCTTCTAACCTGTTCTGCCTGCACAGATATACATCAGTCCGACAGAATGGCTGACGACCCGCAGCGGAGACATGACACGACATTTTTTTTTTACCGAGTTGTCGCTCGCGTTTTAATGTCTTTTGTAACTGAAAATGTCAAGTTAAATGTATGTAGCAACTGAATTAAACTTGGAATTTATTACACAACGTTGATAAAATAGGATTTATTGATATGTCCTTGCGTGTTTTCTGTTTGTTAATCGTGTATTTCTTCAAACAACAGCCAAACAACTGATTATGTGAAAAGGTAGTGGTGGTGGTATATTTTCTTATTAAAAAACATAACTATACCTGTTAATGTAAACAGATCATTTGCTCCAAAAATCGGACTCTTTTCTTTCTTAGAGAAAATAACACAAGCCTAGATATATGCATATAGATAAACAAATTGATAAACTATTGGGAATATGCAACGGTAAAGCATCACTTTTGATATATCCTCAAGCCAGGTCATTTAAATAAATACTCAGGGGGCTGTGGCATAACTGTGATACAAATCACTGCACTGATATTTAGAAGTACTTAGACACCATTATAGAGAAGCCGACTTAATCCCTGCACCTATAAATGAAAGTTAATCATAGCAGGTTTCCTGTTTACAATTTACGCTTTAAACAGTGTCTTTCCTGTTTGGGAGAAAAGGCTGTCGTAAATGTCATAAGTCTTCCATTTTAACTTAACAACAGATGACAATGATGACAATAAATTAGAAGTGTACCCTGTGGTATATTCTATCATACAGTTGAAAGTGTTGAAAAGCAGTCTAAATTCCCATCCATATCAGAGCCTTTTTATTTATGGAGTCCACATTTATATTATTTTAAAAAGTAATGTTTTGTCAAACTATACCACCTGTAATCATTTAAAAAATAGAGCAATTTAAAATAGTCACTCACTTCTGTTTCTTTCCTTTTTATAGGTTATGTTTCCTCAAGAAAAACACTTTTCTTTACATCCACAGTCATACAGATGTGCTCTTTTCCCATCCAGAATAAATATCATCAATACCACAAACAGACATTTAAATGACGATTATTTGTGTTTTCAAAAAAGTTAAAAAATTATAGTTGATTACCAATCTAGGATTTGTCGTAGAGATTGAAAATTGTCTGGTACATTAGTGTGAGCTCAAGTCTGCTCATCTACGCCATCAAATAAACATGATGTGATTGTTTTCTGTCATAACTCTGTATGTATTGAGTTGTCAGCATGTGAGATTAATGGATGAACAAATGAATAAATGAAATGGAAACCAAATCTTGTGCTGCCACCGTAAGTAATGAATGCCCTTTTGAATCTGGCTGAGGGTGCAAAGTTACAGGGCCTATGATAACAGATCTCATAAAGTAAATACAGCCAGTTGATGTAATTAAGATGTTCAAATAATCATCAGCAGCCTGTCTTTTGATGGACAGAACATGCTTAAATCTTTAAACCAGTGACACCCCCAATGTCATTTCAAATCTGAAACAAATTAAAGGATTAATTAACGGATTTAAATTTTGGAGGCCAAATGTGTGACATTCTTAGAGATACAGCTGATTAAATGTTTTTCCTACATATGGGTGTGACTTGCGTTGCTCAAAACACACACTATAGCTGATGAAATAGTCAACATTCCTGGTGTCTACAGTACTGTGTCAAAGATGTCTTGACACTTCTTAAGAGCCAGACTTTGTCTTTCAAACTTGTTCTTTCAACACTTAATAGTTATTTATTTCTTACACTGGTTTAGACTTCCTAACTGACCATTTCCAAAGAAGCCAGTTTTGTTATTTAGTGGTTTGGTTATCGATTAAGTCTTTTTGTCTCCAGTTTTGTCTGTCCTTATTACAGAGGACATAGCAAAGAACCAGATCTAAACTGTGTTCGGTCCTTTTCTACCAGCAGCCTGTTGAAAGATTCATAATCTGTTTTAAAGTTGATTAATATTGTTGTAGAGAGATATGATTCCTCCAGCAAGGGGAAAAACCTAATTAAGAGTAATTTGGGAATCATTTGGCATAGCTTGGCATAGTGTGCAGACTGTAAAAAAATAATAAAAAGACCACAGCTGAACTGTATTTAAAGCATCTGGACCTGAGGTTGAGCGGAGCTTGAAAGATCAACATAGAGGTCGGGTGATTCAGAAACCACTATTAAGAAAAGGAAAAAGGGAGAAAATTAAGCCAAATGACTCAAGAAGAGCACTGGAAAGTTAAAGTTGCAGGGTGAATGCAGTAGTGTATTCTCCCAAGACACTGTACATCCTCTTATTATAGGCATACAGCTGATGAAGTACAGACATGATACTTAATATTTTTCTAATTATAAAGAAAGGGCAAGCTGTACTTCACAATTTCTGTGCTTAGACTTTTTCTGATATTCACACAGCTGCTGTTTCATGACTGGATAAAAAGAAAGGAGGATAAATCAGATTCTAGAAAGCTAACAAAGCCCCCCGTTCATTCTTTTTGGCAGCCCAGAACGAATTTGAGCAGATTTTACCTGAGTAAAACTTGAAATTCCCCAAACATTTTTTGCAAGACAGTGATAGGATTATTACAGTTTCAGGGGCCTTTGGCTACACCTAGTGGACTGTATTTGAATAACACAAAAGGAAAAGAAGCCACAAGAATCAGGCAGCTCAGTGTGCTGCATATCCAATCATTCTGCTTTTAATACAAAGTCAAGATACAATATCTACATCTATGGTTTGAAAGGAAAAAACAGGTACATAAGTGAGGGGGATGGCATCGTCAGAGCTGGCCCTCAACACATTTCATACAATGTTTCATGTGTGCCTTTTTATATTTCTCGACACATTTATCATTATAGAAATAGAAGGAATAACATATTTCATATATGTCAAACATTGTCAAGACTTGTGGACCACACATAGAGTTCATACCAGAATAATTTCAGGTTTAAACAATAATTTCTGACTGTGTGTAAAGTGTGTAGCTAGGCAATTCTCACCTGTTCTCTGTCAAAAATACACTTGCTACCATGTGCTTTCAAGCAAACTAAACATCGAAAGCTTGTCAGAGGGTCTTCACTGATAAGCTTGCTTTATTTATCTAACTTCTCTGATGCCCTTAGACCTGCCACCTAGGGGTGAAACATGCCTCTCTGCTGTGAACCCACCGCTGCTGTGACTAGGCTGAATGGGGAGAGCATTGAGAGGGCATCACTGTAAACTTAATCTAGTTCTGCCGCTAATGTACACCTCTATCTAACTAGTCAGACATCAGTAATCAGTATCAAAGAGCACCCTACACAGAGGGCATACTTTATCATAACAAAGCAAATAAAAAGCACCAAAACTGACCATTGAAAATAAAAAAACAAACAGTGACAATATCATACTGCAACATTGGCTGGCCAAAGAAACAAGTTACAACATCTTATTGGTTATAATTGTTAAAAATCCAAAATGAATAAAAACAAACATAAAAATAACAAAATAGATTGATAAATATCTTTAAAAATCATATGAAATAACTAAGTCAAAGTGAACGGTAACAATAAGGCTTTTTTGCGACAATAAGTACTACATCACATCCAATCCCACGTTACATCTTGTGCTCAGACGTATGTAACTGTACTGTATAGGACTCCAATGATAAACTGTATGTACAAAATTGGTGAATTTTGCCCAAGACGGCTGATATACTGGGCTGTCGCTGTGCTCTTTCATCATCATTTGGGGCGAATTCTGATCAGAAGTCAAATTAAGAAAAAAACACACCAATGTCAGGGTCTTGTGCAGTTGTACAGAAGTTAGATGGAGGGTAATACGTTGACTGGTATAGTTGGAAACTTCTACACGACGGAATTTGAGAGCAGAGAAAGTTCCACAGAGATCCGAGGAGGAGGTGGGGAAGGGGAGTGGACTGATGGTGGCGGACAGATCACCATTTGCTCTGAATAGTTAGAGAATTTCTTTCAGTAACAGTAGCTTAAACTTGTAAAAATATATGAAGGATTTAACTGCAACGTGGTACCATTCAAGTAGGGAAGCTTCAGAGGAGGAAGAGGACCAACAGACAATTCTCACCTTCAGGTGAAGATAAGGTACAACAAGATTTTAGCACAAAATGCATGAGCATTAGGCAGCATGTTAAAAGACAACAAACTGCAGCATAAGGCAAAGAAATACCATTAAAAAGACGGAAAAATCTACAGAGATGGGCTAAGAATCAAGAGATAAATGGCCGGAGCTGAGTTCTTTTCTTCGCATCTCTTCCAATAGGTTATAGCTGAAATGACACGATGTGACTGACATCAAGAGGAGCTGAGCTGGAGGATGAACAAGGACTACAGTAAATAGCAAGCAAGCAGTATTCAATGAGAAAATGCACTGAACTTCGAATCTCAACCCGGTTAAGGATGTGGAGGGATCTAACTGCTGTTCTGAGGCCACCTATTACTCAGTGAGGGTGTGATCATTGCATGTGAGCGGATGCTTGACCAATTTTTTATCTGAGCCATCTGACTTTATGTTTTGCTGGATTACAAAAGGAGGTATCTCTCCTCGTAGGCCACAGTTCTTGTTCACGCTGCATGTTTTCTCTTGGCACTGTGCATCAGGTAAATGAGCATGATCATGCTTTCTCCAAAAGTCCTCTGGGTGGTTGGATCCATACTGGAGGCTTCTGCTGATGCATAAATTAGACATCTGCTTCAGACTGTAGTCAGAACTACCTTTGGTGGCAGTAGACGCCTTTGAAATAGACTCACAGACACATAGAAATGTTCACTTTGTCACTCCTTTAGAACATCTAACCAATAGATACAAAGTTGAGGATAAAAAGCCCATTTCGGGTGCAGCAATTATCCAGGCTGTTTTTTTCATTTCCTAAATATTTTCTTTTTTTTTTCTTTTTTTTCTTTTTTTTACACATAGAGCATCATAACTCCTGCTCAGAAGCCATTTTATTTCACTGGTTCATACTGGAGATAGCTGACCACAACATACATGTATTATACGTCCTTCACACTGGAACACTGAGGTAAGTATATGGATTACACATGGACAGCCTCTACACCCACCAGGAAGACTCCTGATGAGCGTGGATGTTGTTTCAGATTTCTTGCCGCTGCTTCTGTTGCTTGTTGGTATAGGATTTGCCTTTATGTCTTGCTATCAGAGATGTTCAAAGTTCACATTGTCTTGCACAGCTTACATTTCCTGTCACATGTTGGATTGTTTTGTGGGCCTTGAAGCAGAACAATGAATCGATGGTTGTCTGTTTTCTTATGTTGCATAGTGGTCGAAGCTACCCAAGTACTCGAGAGCAGCCTGATAGCAGAACTGGTATTCATCCTGGGTGACAGACAAAAAGATAAAGTCAAACCAGAAAACAAACGTCTTGTTAGACACGAACAGACTTAAAGTAAACTTCAAAGTCTTTTCCTGCAGCAGCTATCATTAATATATCTGAGACATTTAAGGGTGCATTAACTAAAACCAGAGGTGGTGTGGTGGTTAGAACCATTGCCTCACAGCAAGAGGGTTCTGGGCTCGAGTCCCTGGGGGAACCAGGACTATTATGTGTGGAGTTTGAATGTCTTCCCTGTGTCTGGGTTCTCTCCGGCTTCATCCCACCGTCCAAAAATCAGCATTTTAGGCTGATTGGACATTCCAAATTGCCCTCTGGAGTGAGTGTGCGTGGTTGTTTTTGGTTGTTTGTCTCTGTGTGGCCCTGCGATGGACAGGCGGACCGTCCAGGGTGTACCCCGCCTCTCGCCCATTGACTACTGGGATAGGCTCCAGGGACCCCATTAGGGAATAAGCGGTTACGAAAAAGTAAAGGATGTATGGATGGATAAATAAAACCACAGATGCGTGCAACAAGGAGTTAATGAATGATCATAAAAAACAAACTATTTCCCTCAAGCAAAACCCACACTGATATACCGCTGTCTGAGTCCTGCTGAATGGATATATTTACCTCAGTCTGCACCATGGCTGGTCTTTGTGTCCGCAGCATTTTGACAGTTTGGAAGATGTCCACTGCCCCTTCGTAACGCATCCTTTCAAGGACTATACTCAGAGTGATAAAGACACCAGTCCGCCCAACGCCAGCACTACGGTCACAAAAGAAAACATCAGCACAGTTACATACAAACAATCCCACCTCAGTGGGCTTCACAGTGACAGAAACACTGTTTGAAGGGGCTTGTTTTTTTCATAAGTAGCAGAGCTGAAAGCAGCTGATCACCTGCAGTGAACTGTGATTGGTCCATCCTGGCCGAACTGCTCCTTGGTTTTGTGCACTTGGCCGATGAAGTCGATAAAACCCTCCCCAGATTTGGGCACGCCTTGCTCTGGCCAGTCAGTGAACTGGAACTGACGTACTGTTCGTGACTGGCCATCCTGAAGGAGTGGAGAGTCAGTAGAAACAAGGTCACCTAAAGATATCTGCAAAACCCTCAGACTAAGTTGATTTAGAAAGTCTGTTTTATGTCTTTTCATAAAAAAAAAGGTTTAGAATGAATATGTTTCATGTGTATCTGTCTATTTCCAGAGCTTATTCCTGCTGTATTGACTGAGAAGAGAGCCTCTGGCAGGCAATATCCTTTTTCCCTTCTAATGATTACTGTTATCTGACCCTGGATCAGTGGCTGTGGTTAACTTGAAGCTGTAACGTCAGAACGTCTGCTACTGTCAGCCACTCAGTGGGCAATTACATCTTTTCTCTTCTGCTCAGCCTTTCTGACTCCCCTTTAATGGAGATCAATAGAGCATCTGTCGATGTGGCGTCACGGCAGGACAAGGCTTAACTGGAGTTATCTATGACTGGCACTGGAGCGCACGGGTGGATGTGTATACCAGTCTCTCTCACACATACACACGCATTGTCAAAGTAATTTGGAGACACCTCGGTTGAATGAGCAGACCTGTAGCGACTTGTCAATAGTGCAAAATTGTCGTGTTGCACGGATCCGCATACAAAACACTCACAAACCAGCACACAACAGGTCGACATGACACGCTTTGCGCCACTGCCCTCCATTGACACTGAAGAGCCGCAAAGCGGAGAAGCGTGACACGCCACAGTCTGTTCGCAACATATGAAAGGACAGCAAGTGTATAAAACACCGATGGTAGAAACCCACCCTGGCATCTGTAACTTTGAACTCTCTGAGGATGTACTGTGGCATGTTATACTCCGCCATCGGGTCAACCACGAAGTATTGATACCTGGCGGAGCGCTCGGCGGGCCAATACTGGTGACATTTCTCCTAACAGGGCAAGAATAATGGTGAATATTGCAAAGAAGCCTGAAATGCTACAAGATCAGCAACTTATGGAGTCGGCATGCAAACAAATGTGGTTTATACCCGTCCCATTTCCCTCAGTTTCGTCAGCATGACAACAATGGTAGAGTTGTGTTCCCAAAGCATTCTCCAGAAATCTTCTGTAGTCTCAGCCAGTGGACCTTGGGTGGCAATGTAGCCTCTTTGCTGCCTAAATAAACAAACACACACATTTTTTTTAATGTATTCACCTCCACCTATTCCCCTTATTGCTTCATCTGCCAAGCATCACAATGAAAATGGGGTCAGGCTTTAAGCAAGAAAAGCAACAGTCAAAATGCATGTGTACAGTGTCTCTGAATGGCTGAATCATCAGAGGGTCTTCAGCGTCCAAACCTGTTTACCAAAGCCGGAGCCAAGCAGAGAGACAAATAGTAGGAACATGTACTCAGTCATGACAAGTCTGACAGGACATGACAGATGAGAGCGCCGTGGTGAAAAGCTCTCCAATCCATTCACTTATCAAGCCACGATAAGAGGACAGGAGGGTCAGGTCAGATTAGCGTTTGCACAAGAAAAACATACCTGTATCCATCTATGTAACTGGCATTGACATAATCGGAGCCTTCCAGGCCTCTGATTGGCTGCAGGCATACACGAGTGGTTTCATAGGGCATAATGTTCACCAATCGGTTCTTGAACTTGTTGCAGGGGAGGTTGGCTGTGACAAATCGGGATGTATGGGCTTTGGTGTTAGCCAGACGCTGGAATGAAAACATAAAAGACAAAAAATGATGAATAAAAATTCATGCAGAACAATCATAACTTCAGAAGCTTAATCAATTAACAAATTAAACATGATTTGGAAAACCAGTGTGGAAGATTATTGAGGACGACGTGGCTTTAATAATATTTAGGACCAACTGAGGTGAAAAAATATGGGTAGTGATGAAGAGGAAATATAATGATGATAAGAATTTATTTCCAACAGTTATTTAGTAAACATGACATAATTACTGAGGGTTTGACACAAGTCACAGTTTAAAGAGTAAAAAAACTACAACATTTCTTTATGCCACCAACATTTCAAAGCCAAAAATAACACTGTGCTTTAAAAGAACAGGAAATAAGTTATAATTCATTCTGTTTTAGAAGCCACAGATTAATATTCATGTTTATGCTTTAAAAAACAAAACAAGTAACAGCCTGATCTGAAAACAAAATATTTCACAAGTGTTACTTTCAAATTTGTTATCAAAGTATTAGCTACGCTTTAATGTCATTTATGTAATATTAAATATGTGCAATTGCATGAGCATTAGCGGAGAAAGACCCGAACTGTGGATGAAGCCACCTTCAAACATGTTCCATTTTGTTAATTAAGAAGAGATTTTTAAATGTATATTAGGAAAAATGCTCATGAGAAGTGCTCTCAGTGTTTTCAGAAATAAATGGTTTAAAACCAGAGTCTCAAACTAAAATTAACAATGCTTTATTTGGATGTTTTTTTCTTTGAATAGAATATTAAAATCTTAATATTAATATTAATGCAAAACTGATTTACATGGAATAAATAAGTAAACTGCATAAAAAGCCCAAATATAACAGCCCAAAATATAAAAATTCAGGGAAACTGGTTTTGCCTAAAGCATCTCACCTAAGCTGACAAGCCATTTTCAGATCTAATAATCTTCCTCTTTTAGCCTTGGACTGTGTGCCCTCTTCAGGCCTCTCAAAAATAACATACAGGATCATTTTAAGAGCAAATGACTAACTATACTTGAAGAGCTCCCAGCACACCAGATTTACAGACTATTTTATTTCAGCATAGCTGTGTAAAGATTAATTGTCTTGCTTTCCTACCTTAAACTCCAGCTCCATGCCAGTGACATGCTCTCCAGGCTCCACCTTGGACAGCTTCTGCATATAGGAGTACAGACTCCTTGCGGCCACCTCCGTGTTCCCACAGGCCACGGCCTCCAGCAGGGCCTCGTGGATAAAGCTGTATTGGTCCTCTGTTTGCACCATGTAGTTTCTCTGTGAGCGCATCAGGGTCACATGACCGTAGATGTCCACAGTACGCTCATGGCGAATGCGCTCCAGCATGGCATCAATGACAATAAAACAACCAGTGCGACCAACACCAGCACTGAAAGAGAGAGAGAGAAATATTTGTCTTTTATATTTAAGTCTAAAGAAATAGTGAATACCCTGCGAAATCTGAGTAAATACATCATTTTTTTTATTTATGTACTCCAATTTCTTCATCTATCAAACAGCCAAAGAGTGAATGAGTGTCAAGTTCTCCATTACTATTGCACAAAAAGGTTTGCAAATTCAATCTGTTTACAGTTGGAGTTTAATCAATCTTTAGATTCAACTCTCTGAGAGGCAGACAGATTTTAGTTTGTCTGTACCTGCAGTGAGCAATGATGGGTCCAGCATCAGGGGGGTTGCAGGCTTTGACCCTGCGGAGGAAATTAAGGAAGGGGGTGGGGTACTCTGGCACGCCGTGATCGGGCCAGGCTGTGAACTGGAACTGACGCACCTCCCTCCTCTCACTGCTTCCACTCTGTCATAAAACACGGGTGGACAAAATCGACTTTAGCCTCTCATGCAATCCTAGATGTATGAACGCTCGCAGGAATCAGCATTGCTGCATCCCAAAGCAGCCAATTTCTTCAGATTTTTTATGGTTTGTGTTCAGGATGATATTAAATCAACGTCATACAATGACAGAGGAAAAAAAAAAAAAGTAAAAGGAAAAAAAAGAACGCCTACTCAGTGTGTACATCCCAATAAAAACCATCAGAAAATGTACTATAAAAAAAGGCATTTTTTAAATAGTTAAAGTGTATTGTTCTACTCTACAATATTTCTCCTGAGTTAATATTTGACAAAACATCAACGAAAATGACAAAGAAGCTGTCCTGCACTGAAACTACATTTGGCCTAGTTTCTGTGTGTGTAAGTAGGCCACAGAGACGAGTCAGCCTGATGCGCCTAGATTAGCACTGTGCTTGAAGAAACTGCTCCGCTTCCAGCAGTGATCACATCTCAGCACCTGACACGGGGAGGCTGGCCTGGTTTGAGCACTCCACGAGTCCCAGACTAATCTATTACCCTCTGTGTGTCCATATACACCACTAGCTCAGCGATGGCAGGAATTCATGATTACTTCAGTTGCACCTGGTTTCAAACTGCAAGCTCTAGGGATCAAAAGAGTTTTCACTGGCTATAACCCTTCTGGAGGTAAGGGCAGAGCACTGAGTAGAGGGTGGACAGAGTTGGAGCAAAGGGCTTGAAATGAGCAAAATAACAGACCTTATGCAGGGAGAAGGTGCGAACGCAGAATGTGGCGAGTTCCATGGTGTCCAACAGCGTGACCTGAATCATCCCATATGTCTCCGTGCCGCGACTTGGCCAATACTGGTCACACTTAATCTGTAAGGGAAAAGGAAAGTCCTTAGCATTTCTTACGCAGGAGCAAGATTTGTGTTCATTTCAACTTACTTTTCCAGCCACACATTTAACAAAATCATAATCCTCTGGCAAAGGCATCTTCTATTTAACATTACTGTACAGTATGGATTTGGGTTAGTGGGTGAGAGTTTGTTTTCATACCCGTGATTTCTCCTCTAGGCGAGTCATCATGACGACAGAGGCAGTACGTTGCTCCCACACCATCCTCCAGAAGTCTCCAAATGTCTCTGCCAGCGGCCCCTGGGTAGCGATGTAGGCATTTTGCTTCCTGTAGCCATCAATGTAGTTGGCATTGATGTAGTCGCTTCCCAGGATACCTTCAAACGAGACACTCATGAGGCTCGTGCCAAGTGCATTTTGCATAAGCATCATAATAAATTAACCTCAGGCTATGACATTAAACGATCAAATGAAACATTTCTTTCTGGCACCGGTTTCCACAAGGCGACAACAAACAAACAGGACTCTGTCGGTGTAAATTCATGAGCTGCAGATCACATCCATTCTCCCCCCCCGTTCTTGTTCCGGAGGAGTCCTGGCTGCACTTGAATGCACTCTTGCTGTTTGTCAGTCTCACGCCGCTGCACACAGTGGGTCTTCAGCACTGTTTGCAATTTCAGATTTCATCCATCACGCTGCTGCCCCAGCCTCCCACCACATCTCTTTGTGTTCACCCGCTGAACTCCAACACGCTCTGACTCTCGCCATTACAAACGTCTCTTTTGACTCGACGGCCCCTCACCTTCTATGGGAGCCAGGGTGACTCTAGTGTGGTCGTACGCTATGACGTTAGCGTAGCGGTTTTTGGGCTTGTTGACCTCCAGGTTGGAGTGCTCCCAGATGAACTGCTGACCGGGGTCGATTGACTGTAAAGAAGAAGTAAACACGCATGTTGAAAGTCCGTGGCATTATCAAGTACTGGATTTGAGAATAAGTGCTCACTAATGCTGAAGCAAGAGCAGTTAAAATGCACGGTTGAATAAATCATGAACATTAAAGCAGAACACAGATAAACATTAAATAATATGTGTTTTGTGAAGCAAAGGCTTAAGAAGCTTAAGTTTTCCAAACAAGAAGGTGGATAGCAATTAATTTCCACATATGAAATGATGATGTATCACTTACCTCATACTCTTGAGAGAGTCTTAAGTTATCGTTAGCTTTTAGCATCTCTATGTGCTCAGCCAGTTCACTGATGGGGATGGGAGGGTGGCTCATCATTCCTGCATCACAGTAAAAATAAGAGGTGATTTAGACTCCAACAGAACTACCAAACTACTGTTGGTCAGATCACTTATGTAGATAGGTGAAAAATAATGATAAAATCAAACAACATCCACATATCATCATTTTCTGAGGGAGAAAATCAATTTCGATCTATGTGTGTGGACAAAATGAAATGAGTTTTGTCTGTGAATAGTTTTTCTCTTTTCTTTGATAAATTGTTTCCTCTAAAATCAAAGGAGCGAGAAATGGTAAAAACAAACAGCCAGAGCAGTAATTAGGAGGGTTGCACACACATTCATACAGACACATTATCATTACATGCTACCTATGGCTCACAGAGTAATTCATTTTCACAGCTGGAACATAAACATAGAAGAGAAACCAAAAACCAATCCTTCATGATAGAAAAACCAACAGAAGCTTATTGGAAACAAAGACAATATTGCTGTCTTCAAAGTAAACACGATTTAAAAAGAATGCAGACGCAAAATTAAAAGAATTCTCTATCCCTGACCAAATGAGGGCTCTGGTTATGAATCCCAATAGATACGTGAAGCACCTTGCACAGGTAACCGCAACGAAATGCTCCCGTCACGATCGAAACAACAGAGAATCGTCTGGTTTTGTTGGAAACGCCTATCGGCTGTTGACAGCACAAATCCCCAGGAAGAGGAGCCGGAAGTACTGCAAATAGGAAGTTTCAAGGTTGCTGCCACATAAGAAAAAAAAAAGTGTCATGATGAACGAGAGGAGTTGAGGCTTTGTTGTATCTGGGGGCTCTTTGCCTCCCAAGAACATGTAAAAATAGAAGACTTGGAGGCTTTTATCTATTGATTGACTGAGAATCTGTCTTGCTTGACCTTTTGTTGTCCTGGAAGGTAACCTTTCTGACACATCCCGCCACCTTTCCATCAGACATGCCTCTGTATGCTCCAGCCCCCACAGTGTGCAAAATCCTTCGGTGTTATTTGGATGTTGACCGATGAAAGAAGTGAAAGTGAGGCACAATTCGTGGCCCGTGGACATAAAGAGCTACTGTGTTGTTAGGTTTCCACTGTCTGGAACTGGAGTATCCCTCAGAACGACGTTTATGATTGATCACTGTTAGTTCACAACACTAAGTTTGAGCTAACTTCTGAGCTTTACACATTCAAAAGACAGATTTTTCTGCCTGCCTCCTGCAGCCTGGCATGTGGAATGTGGGCGAGCGGAGATGATGAGAGCTCATCACACCGTTATGACTCAGATGTGACTAAGCACTGACTGTACTACCTGGGCAGCGGCCATTTTTGTCTTAGAAACGACTGGAAGTTGCCAGGTATGTGCTTCATGGAACGAGAGGAACTTTTTCAGTCTTGTCTGCATAATCTTAGAAAGGATAAAATTAGCTTCATGAATATTTCACTTCTAGATGAGATGAGCCCTTGGAAGCACACTTTGTCATGCAAATGCAAAAGCGTATGTCCATGTTTCATACCAGGAGTCTGGAAATTGATGCGTCTCATCTCCACGGGGTCTGTCGGGTGGTGGGCCATCATCTCAGCGTTGTTCAAAAGACTCTTGGTTCCAGGCTCAGAGTCTTTGCGTTTGCTACTGAGAAATCAAACGGTGGAAAAAAGGTTCACATACAAAGGACTAGGAACAGAAAACAACACACAACACACTGACACAGCACGGGTACTTAATTCCAGTAAATAGCGCACTAACAGACAGAGTGTTTTACACGTTTTTACACATTCTCTATACAACGTTTGGTAGCATGTAATTGCTGTGGGTTAAATTGAACAAAGTGTTTGACATTGGCTTAATCTTACCTGTCAGGCTTGCTGCTTCCCGTGAAACAAGGGTTGGAATAATTAAGAGGAAGAAAGGAAGGAAACAGACAGATTGTTGGAGAGGAAAATCAATATTTTGCATTAGTATTCAAAAGCTTGATAGCTTGCAGCAGATATCACAGGCCTACAGCAGGGTCAGGCTTGTTTGATAGCTGTCTGAGGGCAGAGCCAACTTCTAAACTGGGACACATTTGATGAATTTTAAGCAGTTGTGGGAGAGAAAGCTGCCAGACTGCAAGAAATATTAGCAGGAACTGCACATAGAAAACCACAGTTCTAAAAACTGAGCACTAGGATTTTTAAGCCAATTCTATCTCGACTCTTTCTGTTGTAAACATCCACAAGGGCAGCTTACGTATACTAGGTCTCTCTTGTGCATTATAGAAACAAGTTTCTGAATCAGATATCATAAAAAAAAATCTGTTATTTTACACTTAAAATAAATTCAGAGGGAGACTAACAAGCTTTGAAAACATTTGTGCTTATCATGGCCATTGTTGACATTCTGAAAAAAAAGGGATAAACCCAGTCTCATCCTCTGAGAGAATCAAAACTGCTTTGGCATTTACTTGATGTGACCAACACTCTGACTCACTGCCATGGTTGTAAACTTGACATTTGCTTTTTTATGAAGTTCAGCCCACTCACTTTTTGTAAAGGAGGATGGCAATAACGATGCAGATGATGAAAACCACGGCCAGGACAGGTCCAACCACCCAGATAAGGCCATCACCTGCATCAAAAGGCTGGGGGTCTGAATCTGGGGCAATCACTGGGTCTGTGTAGGGGCTGGCCACGTACATTCTCTGGAAAAAATCATCCCACAAAACACACGCACACACAAATAGTTAGGTAATCCCTGCCAAGCGATAGATGTGCTTTTATTTTTATAAGTAGAATAATATAATAATTTTTTCTTTGATATATTTGGGGAAAATCATAATGGACCTCTAATAATAACAACAGTATTGTTTTAATGAGCCTGTTAAATAAGCACAGTACTGAAATCACAGCTTGCTTATCCAGCACAAAGATTTAAATTCTGAGCTGTTGTAGTGTATTGTGTATGTCAGTGGGCTGAAGAGACACTGGTCAGCTCATGCGGAATTTGACAACATGCACAGAGAATATCTTTATTTAGCCTTGTATTGTTGCGTTCTTATTCTTTTGTTTATCTGTTACTGTAAATCTATACAGGTTCAAAGCATATATTGCAGCCTATTCCAATTTAAGGCACTCACATATCAGAAATATCTCCACTGCCACAGTGGATAGACTAAACTCTTTATTAGTAATATAGATGGATGTTGGAGAAGGTTTCTGCATTGGTCTAGAACAGTTTGACTGATGCACATTTTATTATTTTAGCACTCCAGACATATTGATCACAATGAACAGTGACAGCCTGCAGATAAAGCAGGCAGTTTGGAATGAGGGAAGGCTTATAAAAATGGAGAACAAAAAGAAGCTCTAAGTAAAAGACAGTGTGTTGCCTACCCCTGTTGTCGAGTTCAGCTCAGCCAGAATAAAGAAGACATACTCCAGCCCTGGCTCCAGAGCTCGGTTCTCAAAGCCCCCGTAGTCCAGCTGGTCCCCCAAGGTAAAGAAGGCTGGTAGCGTGGCAGGTGTGAAACGGGCTGTGATGTAAGCCCTCCTCAGGTCCACCTGCTTCTGTTGTCGAGAATCTCTCTGCCTTTGACTGATGTCTTTTAACAGCTAAAACGAGGGTGAAGAAATAGAAAAAAAAAATCAAGCACACACAAAATCTCTCTCTAACGCTTCAACGCTTCAAATGCTGTTATTGAATTAAAAAGGGTTAGCGCTGCAGGAGTTCTTGGAGATGATTTCGGGTGTGTTTATGGGTCTTTTCCTGATTCCAGCCTCAGAATTGGCAGGTGCTGCCACTACTGTGGTTCTCACCTCTTCTAGGTCCATTTCGTCCGGGCTCTTTAGGTGTCTGAGAATACCGCGGCCCCTCCGCAGCGGAACCACAACAACGTAAACATTCCTATGGAAGCAAAGGAGCAAAACAAAACATGAGGTCAGATGCAGTCTTGTGATGACAAAATGTCTCTGACAAGTCCTCCTGTCAATTTGTTGCATTACAGAAAGAATCTGCAGGACGTTATCAGCCGGGTAACATCACCTCACCCATCACTGTTACAAAATGCAAAACTTTTTAATCTTACTTGATAGGAGTGCGAGTTTCCAGCGATGGCAAGATTATAGTGACGGTGGTTTCAGTTTCACGGGTGTGGTCAATCTCAGGGCGGCGAATAGTAATTGGCGGGGATGTCTTGGCATTTATGCGGAGGCGGAGACCTCCCATGTTGCCTTCAGGAGCTGTTATTTTAAAGTCGTAGCTGGTGTCTGGCTGGAGGTTGGTGATGACCGCCTTTTTGAGGCGAGCATCCACATCCATCTTCTGACGGTTATACTCCACCTAGAGGGTCAGGGTGAAGCCAAAGTGCATGAATGGTTTGATGCTAAACAGTTAACATTTTTCATATTTGAAAGAAAAATGTTAACATTTTGGGGTCAACTTTGCATGCCAACATCAACTTTCTTGGGCTTGTATTGTGAATTTGAGGTTATGGTGCGGGCTATGTTAGCACAAAGACCTGGAGCAGAGAGATATAATAAACCTGGTCTTGATCATCACTTATCAAACTGCCTCTGATTCTCTGTAAAGATACGTCTCTTTTGTTAAATCCATAAAAAACTTAAAAAACCCCCCACAAATCCCTGTTTTTACTATTGTTTAACATATGCCAAATTATTTCTTGGCCAGGAATGGACTACCTGAGGAAACTCCAGGAATTTTCAGGACACGGGCCAAAAAACAGTAGGATATCACCCATAAACTTTTCCCCCCATTATACTCTTCAAATCAAATTCGTTACACATGGTTCTTTATATATTGACCTCTAGAAGTGCTGCAGTGCAGATTTAGTGAAATAACAATGTATATGTTTATTTAAGTTTAACTTTACACTGAACAACATCAGCATTCTCTTAATGTAATATTCAATTTAGATGTATGTTTTATTAAACCATATGATCTTTTTAAAGCACAAATATTGTAATTTTAAGCACCAGCTGACTTTTGTTTCCAATATGTTGTGGCATATTGAACAGCACATTCAAAAGGCGATAACATACGGTAAAACGATAGGAGTTGCTGGTCTCTGGAAACTCCCAGGTGAGAAGGACACTGGTCTTTGTAGCAAGGTTGACTGAAAAATTCCTCGGCACATCTACGATGCAAACAGCAAAACAAAAAAAACAGTTACTTGTGATGAAGAGTTTCATATGAATCACTGGGTCCTCTGATTTCCAGGTGCATCTGCAAAGCTGGAGAAGAGTCTAACGTGTTACTCGGGGGGGAAAAAGACATGATGGTTAGGAGGATGGGCAGGTGATGAGGATAGTGGATGGCATTATTAATAAGTTCATGTAACAGACAGCTCGACCACAGAAATGTGACATGCCACGTTGTCAGAGTGTACTTTTGTGTATTTTCAACTCATAATTCAGCATGTCAGCAAAGGCTTTGGAAAAGGTGGCAGTGAAGGTCTATCAGATAATAAAAAAAAACCTTACCTGCATGTACAGCACCGGGTGGCGGTTTTCAACTTTAGGTAAGACTGAACACTTACCTTTTTTGGTTGATACTGTCGGTCCAAGCCCTGTATTGACTTTTACCTGAGGGTTTGTGATAAGCAGTGTTCTTGAAGCAAACATCCATTAACACTCAGCCTGCTTCCACGAGTGGTGAAGGGTAGGTGATGAAGGTATAAGTGAGTGAGTGAGTGGAGGATATTTGGGGGAAGTAGTGGTTTTCCTTTGGGCCTTGCGCTTTTCCATCTCTCTGAGGTGCACGTGTGAAAGGCAGACCTGTAGGAACTGGCCCAGACTTCTGTTAGATTGGTGATTTAAAGTGAACTCCACAATCAGGGGGAGATATCAAGTCCAACCAGTGCTTAGAAGTTGAAAGGTGTTCCCCGGGCCTGAGGCCAGCCCTACCTGTTTCAAAAGCCAGGGTGAGCCACACCAAAGGAGGGCTGAAGGGGCCAGGCCCTGCCTTGTTATTGGATCTGAGTTGCACCTCGTAGGCTGTGCTGTGATTAAGACCCAGGATAGTGTAGCTGGACTCACTAGCTGGCAGGGTGATCAGCCACGGAGGAGCAGAAGAGACTGGTAAGGTAGAGGGGACTGGGTCGGCAGATGGTTTGGGGGATGCAGCCTTTTTGTAAGCTACAGTGTACTCTGTAATGACACTGTTGCACTCATCTGGGGCGGGAAGCTGCCAGGAGAACTGGAGGGAGCAGCAAGTCGCATTTAACAAGCCAACAATATTAGGGTATCCTACAGGTGGAACGATTGGAATCGTTAATTCCTGCTGCGCCACATCCCCGTGGCCCGCCCGGCTCTTCGCAGAGAGGACGAAGACGTAGGAGGAGCCCGGCAAGAGGTCTCTGACGGTGAAGTTTCTCTCACGGTGTGTAAAATCCAACGTGGCATTTAAAGAAGTATTTTTCAGGCCAAACTGTAGGCGGTAGCCCTGGATTTCCACTGGGGGCCCCTGGCTGTCAGAAACCGTCTCAGAACAATCCAGTGGAGGGGCCCATCTCACCACCATAGTTGAACATGGTCCTGGACGCACCCAAAGAGAAGGGGAGCCGGGCACTGCAAGTAACAGCAGAACATGAGTCGTAATATCTATTCGAAATTCACATATCTATATATCATGCAAATCCTGTAGAGGAATTAGAATTGATTTGCCTCACAGCACAGCTTGTTCTAAGATCAATCCTTGAGAAGGTTACTATAGCAATATACTTGATACATACTCACCGATCCCTTTGGTCTGCACCAGCTTGGCTTTGCTGTGTGTTCCATCCCCTTTGGTGGTATATGCAGCCACTGAGATGGAGTACATAGTCTCTGCTTTTAAACCTCCTAAAATCAGCTCCTGTGGGACGGGACATATAAAAGTGAGTTCCGATGCCGCACCTCTCAATTTCAGTTAAAAAGGCGGCTCCTCTTTGTGAACACAAGAGCATCAGAGAAAACGATGAAGTTCCATCATTTAGTGTGACTTAAATGGGACTGTAATGTATCGACTGTGTTATTCCGTTTGTATAAACAGTGATTTATTTTATAATGAGAAAAGGTCGGGTTGTCTGCACTCACATAGTTAGTCGAATCATCCTCATCCATCTTGTGGCACAGATGAAACACACCCCACAGGCGGCCAAAACAGATTAAAGCAGTAGTGAGTCAAACAGCAAAATGAGAAGCAGACATGTTTACGACTATAAGAACTGGACATTGTTTCATCTTTGAAAACACATGTTATCACACTACCTGGGACTCATCTAATAAGAGGTCTTTGATCCGGGGTAAGGTGCGTGATTCGCCGCTCTCTGCACGGCTGAAATGCACCTGGTACCCACGGATTTGGCCTTGCCGTAACCGTGGTAACACAGAGCGCCAGGTGACTCGAATTGCAGAAGAGTTGAGCGGCTGAACATCCACTTGACGAGGAGCTGCACCGGGAACTGAAACAAAACACGCGTTGAATTGCCATTGTGAATATAAAAATTACACAATTACACGATGTTCGGGGCTCTTACCGTCCTCAGCTGTTCTGCAGAGCAAAGCCGGGCCTGTGGGTCTGTTCCTGTCTGCAGCGGACACTGCCACAGTGATGCTGTACCAGCTCCACTTCTCCAGCCCCTCAATCACAGCCTGACCCTGCCGGACCAGGATGGGGAGCCCTTTCACCGCCAGGCCCTGACCTCCTCCTCCTGCCTCAGAAACTCTTTGGTACTGCAGCTCATAACCTGCCAACTCGTCATTCTGGCCCCCCACTGGAGGTGGCCTCCAACTCACTCTCAGCGAGGTGGAGCTGGCGCTCTCACAGGACACACCCTCTGGTGCAGCGGAGGGCTCTAATTGGACAGAGGGTAAGGAGGGCAGTCGGCAAAAAAAATTTAGGAAAGACCCAAAAGAATAAAAGTGAAAATCGAGAGAGGGAAAATTTAAAGCAAAAAGGATTGGGAGATGAGGATAAAAAAGGAAACAATAAAAAACTGATGTAAACTGAACAGAAAGACATAAAACTTGGGCAAGCATGGCTCAAACTTAATAGGGAGCAACTGCAATATGTAAAAGTATTATGTTAGGCTTAGAGCCTAATAAAACAAGCCAGAGACAGGAGTATTGACCTCAAGTGGAGAACTTAATTATACGTACAGAGGATGTGCATCCAATACCCATTGATTATATCTTATCCCCTGGTTTTTGAAGCTAGAGGTATGAAAGGATCCAGTTTCATGAATGAAAAAAACACACAGAGTGTGTCGTTGCCTCTTTAAGAAGGGATGACCAATATATACATTTCACAACAGCAGCTCCCATGGCGGCATAATCCATGAGTCCTCGAGATAATAGAGTGGTGCGAGACTTTCCACTGCTGACACAGGGAAAGACTTGGTTTCACAGGAGGAGATAAAACAAACTAAAACAGATCTCACACGGTGCCGGAAGGATTAAGGATAGAGGTTAAAAAAAAAGAGAAAGGCACTCAGACAAATATAGAAAGTCAGGTTAGAATGAAGAAACACATTGAATCAGACATATCCTTGGGCTCATAGCAAACGTGATTTGAGAAACGTGCACACCCTTACACCTTCACCACCACAGATTTCCAAGCCACTGAGATCTCTCTCACGATACAGAGTCGCGGATGTAATGTATGGGGTTTGTGTTCTATGAGTGTTTGGAATGTATGTGAATGTGTGTGGGAGTGTAAGAGTCATAACTGACAAGTTCAAGTATCTATTCACTCAGCCATACAGCCACTGTTCTGTTGGCCTTGGGGGACAATCTTGATGTGCACCAAAGCTTGGCGATAACAAAGCACAGGCAGCCTCTCTGGGATGTGATTTCTGCTGCATGAAATAGTCTGCTTATCTAGCACCTTTCCTTTCCTGAGTGCCCCAACACCATACTTTACCAATTTCTGTGGCATGCCATCCCATTGTTCCTGTTCTGGAGCAAAGACTGAGGGGTAGGCTCTGAGTTATTGTGAATACTTGACAAATATACTCACCGCTTTCGAGGAACCACCACCAGCAGGACTTTTTGATGCTGTGAATACTTTATCAATTCACTCCCTTGTATCTCTTTTCTTTTCTTAGAGTAGATAAGACTTGAAATGGCAAAAAAAACTAAACAATGATTCCCATTTTAAGTCTTAGCAGCTACCTCAGCTTTTGTACAAAAAATGACAGAAAAGGAAACAAGGGAGAGAATCCATGTTTGTTTTGTATAAAATACAGACTGGGCGGTACTTACTTGTCAACACAACAGGCCGACCACCGTGCTGTAAGGCTTCACACAACTGTCTGTTAGCCAGTAAGTGCTTGACAGTTACACAAAATCAAACACCTTTGTCGCAGATAGAGTGGAAAAAGTGAAAGGATGGTTGAGAGAAGGAAGACTGAAACATTAATCGGTGCTCCATCTCCATCTGTCATGATATTTTGTCTTGTGCAAGAAACAGAGTCGCCGAGTGGGGGAAGAAAGGCACAGTCAAATGTAGATGGATGGATGGGAGAAGGGGATGGACAGATGGGATGAAAAATGAGACACATGGACAGATACAATGATGATTCCCAGGTTGCAGCGGGTCAAGAGCTGAGGACAATATGACATGTGTGAGCGTGCGTGTATCGAGAGGACAAAAATATTTATGTAACATGTCCTTCACAAGGGTTTAAATGACACAATTAAAATATGTGGGATGTGTGCGGGTTTGCCAACCCAGTCGAATTGAGACGTACTAGCTTGAGACGTCCTCTGCACCAGTTCATTAGTGAAAGCTCCGATGCCTTTGTTTGAGATGGCGGCCAGGGAGAAGGAGTACTCTGTGTTTGCTTTCAGACCCTCTACGGTGTAAGAATTCCTCGGCCCAAAGGTTAACTTCTCCTGTGAGACAAAAAAGAAAAGAGTGGAGTGCAGAGAGGTAAAGTGGCATAAGTGGGGACGTGACGAGTCAAAAACTGAGCAGGAGACAAAGATGCAAGATAGCATGCACAAGACACAGAGGTGCTGGGCACAAGGGTAAATATTTAATTTTTTCTCTTTGATATCTCCCCTTGCACCCTCATCTTTCGAACTATCGAACTCCACTCAGAATAAGAGATAAAGAAGAAGGCTTACCAGGCTGCCAAACTTGACAGGCTTGTAAAGCAGCTCATAGTTGACTATTTTCTCCTTGGTGTATGCGGGTTCCCAGGTCAGTTCAATGCTGGTATCTGTCACCTTACCAACTTTAAACTTGCCTGGTTGGCCTGGAACTGAAGGAGAAAAGTGAAATACAACAATATCAATGACAATAACAAAAAAAACGTTGAATAAACATTCAACAATAACAATGAAATCATATCTGATAAAAGTAAAGTTTTGCATGCAATTGTTCCTTTTTTTATAGTCAATAAGTAGTCGATTAAAACTGTAATTCTACAATCTTCTATGTGCTTTATGACTTTAAACAGACTGATGCTCTGGCAGTAGTTCCAAATGGACAGAAAATTAAACCGGTAATACCATCAGAGATTTATGGTTGTCATGTGTACCTGCCTTCCTACAAAGTCAACAGTCTCACAGAAGCTGTCAAAGTGACACAATCAGCAGTGAGGTATGACACAACACTTTTGCCAGCGAATCCCTGTTTGCTTTTTGTAAATCTCCACAATGCTGTCCTCCTTAGATTTATTTATGCCGAGAAAGTCATATTTTGTGACAGGTCAAGCTTTTTCACAGTCCTTTTTACTGATTGCTAACCAAAGTTTGAATAATCCACTGAGTAGATTGTATACATGCACATGCACACATGTAATTACTCATTTGTGTTGTGCTGCACACTCTCGTCTGAAAAACAACCACTACTTATCTCTATATGAATAAAAAGGACCACTTAGATGATGTTTATGCACCAGCATGCAGGATAAATATATGCTCTTGCACAAACACCCAGCGATGATTATGTTTATGCATTCACACACACTAACCTCCACGCAGGACTTTTACATGGACAGGGTCTGAAAAGGGCCCGTCGCCCACAGAGGTGAAGGCTAGGACCTGGATGGTGTATGTCTCCGAGGTGACGAGGTTCTGAATAGTGGTGATTATACTATCTTGGACATTGTGGATCTGCCATTCATGCATCGGCCGGGACGGATCCATGGTGTAGTACACACGATAACCTTTAACCTAGGAAAGGACCAAAGATTTAGAGACAAACCAAGTTAAGTATTCTGCACTGGTGCCTGATATTTAGGTCAGGGAGAGGGTTTTATTATTTGCTCCTCCACCTAATCCCACTTCATGCACCCCTGATAATCCATAATACCATGTTTTAACACTGCTAGAGTTTACGACTGCCAAGGTCATCATCTAGTTTACTTCGGTCCAGATGGTCAAGAAGATTTGGAGCTCGACTGTTTGTTAGAGATAATTTTCCAATAGTATTTTCAAGCTTAAACAACAGTACAAACTCGTTCCAACTCGTAAATTTGTTGATTTTAAAAAAGAAATTCTTGAATTGAGTATGTTATCACGACACCTCTTTGCTCCATGGAATTTGGCTATACTGTGAGTAGGTCAGGGTTTACATAATCCCTCTGCCACGGCAACTCTCTAAACCTCCAGCTCCCCCAACTCCACTGTTATTACTCTTTAATATCTATAATCCCCATATGCACTCTATTCAGTCTTTTACTTTTTTTTTATAAAAAAAAAGGCTGTGCAGTTAGGTGGGCTTGAAAAAGGAAATGGGCCTCAAGAGGGAGTGTGCTCAACTTCGAAACGGACAGTCCAATTACCCTTTCTTTCTTTAGAGAACAAGGAAAACTAGCAAGGGAGTTACAGGACAGAAACCTCCAGCAAGACACCATCCCTACAAAGCCAATAAACCTGCTTGCTTCAAAATGCTCCCAATAGTACATTTTATTAAGCTTTTATCATTCTGTGGCCACATCATATGGGCTTATAAAAAAACTGAGGAGTGTGACGATCAGAAAATGTTTATTGTTCAGTGACCATTAGAACTTAGTAAAAATTTAAATATGAAAATGACGAGTCACATCTTGGTTGGACATAAGTGTTTAAAAAACTTTCTGTATTCATTAATTTAGGTTTGTGTTGGAAGCTCTAATTCTGGGTGAGGATGCTGTACTGACTGAACACAATTGAGATGTCAAAAAGAGAAGGTTTTTCTCCTAAATATTTGTGGCTTTGGTCCATGAATGCCCTTACTAATTCCTTCGGATCACTTGTTTGACACTAAGAGAAAAAAAAAAGTTAAAGAAAAAAAAACTCCTTTACAGAAAAAAGATCAAAAAGATTTGGATCTATTTTTAACCCACCTGACCATTGGGCTCTTCTGGGTCCTCCCAGCGGACCATCACAGTGTTCTCAGATATAACGTGGGCATGCACATTTCTTGGAGGGCTTGCTGGGGCCTGCTCTCCGGTTCGAGCCTCCACACGTGTGGACGGCGGCCCCTGACCGATACTGTTGAAGGCTGAAACTCGGATTTCATACTCAGTATTGGGGTAAAGCCCACCAATGCTGTAGCGGGTGGTGGTGATGCTGTCCACGGTCTCGTACTTGCTGTCCGGCCCTTTGGCTCGATACTGAATGATGTAGTAGGAGACGGGGTCAGGATTGCCAGAGTCCCAAGTGATGGTCACGCTGGTAGCCGTTGTCTCAGTGACAATGGGTGTGCCCGGAGGCTTTGGTAGGGCTGATCAAAAAGATAGCACATTAAACAGAAATGTGCTTTAATTTTAGAGCTGACAATATTTTTCTTACATAAACATCCAAAAACACAAATACACATGACTTTAATTTCTTTCTAATGTAATAGTACGGTCTCAACAACTCAGAGTCTCGAATTTTCCAAACTCTTCATGGACACAGTATCAAACAAGAGTGTCTTTAACCCTATAATGCCAAATGTGTCATATTTGATTCATACGGTTTCTGAAGTCTTTTGGATCTGAGACTTTTTGCATCATTCAGTGGTAAAAGCTTTGCTCAAACCCCTGTTGTACACATTCAGATATACCTGATAACAGCCAGTAGAAGACTACACCAAAATATATTTTTGACTTATTGCACGCTAATTTCATCAAAATAATTTCTGTTTTTTTTTCTTCATATGTTGTTGAGGGGCCAAAGAAAGACTTCAGACTAATCCAAGATTCTTCCTATTTTTCTTGGATCAGGCTTTAAAGGGTTAAGCAGCACTCTAACACTTTCTCTGAGCAAAGTGGTTATATGGGTCTAAAGATATGTTGGTTCCTTACTCTTAACTAAGACTTGTGCTGTGGCCTCAAGGATACCGAGACTGCTCATGGCCACACAGGTGTAGTTTGCAGACTCCCTGACGCCATTCAGCTCCAGCACATTCCGTCCAATGGGCATTTCGTCCTCAGGGGTCAGGTCCTCACTGCCCATCATCCACTTGACATAAGGCATGGGCGAACCCACGGCCACACAGGTGATGTTGACGCTCCCTCCCGGCATGATCTCGTGGTTGGAGGGTAAGATAGAGAAACGAGGGGGCACACGGCGCACTGGGAAAGGAGGAGAGTCGGGGTAGAGAGGAAGGGGTGGGGTCAGGGAGTTAAAGGGGGCAAAGTGGAGTAGGAGAAAAGTGGAAAGGGGAGCGAGAAGATCAAAGGTGGAGAAAAAGAAGGAGGAGGAGTGGGGGGGAAGGGGGAATGAGAGAAAAAGAGCAAAGCAGAGAGCAAAGAGGTTGAGAGAGAAATCGAGGGCAAGAGAGATAAAAGGAAGAAAAAGAAAAAGAGGAGAGGTAACAGGAAGGGGGAGAATGAACTTCAGGGTTTTACAGAAAATTACAAAGGGATATTTCAAGTTTAGTCCGAATTACTTTATGGTACTGATGAATCCAACAAAAAGACACAAATCTTGTGTGAGCTCAACCATTCAGAGTGAGCTGCCTACTCAAAAATAATATAGTGACAAACTCTTGAGTACCAATTCAACCAGGACATGACACCTATAGTCAGTTTCTCTACGATTCAAATTGATTCGTTGTTTAAGGAAGAGTAAAGTTTTTTGTTTTACTGTTATATTTGCCCCCTCCAAACCATTAATAAGTATGTTAAACTTTACCAGACACGTCAGAGAAAAACTTTACTTCATTTAGATTTCTGTGCCTTGGGGTGCTTGTGCAACAGATGGGCTGTTTTAGAGGAAGTGTATGCATCATGGGGTTCGATCAATAGGCTCTACCTGCTATTTGCGTCCTTGTATGAAGAACAAGCAAAGTGGTAAGTTATATTCAATACTGCATCTGTTGGAGCCTGGCTCACTACATATTAGGGGGGAGATGCATCGAGAGACTGAACTCATAGGTCACTTCCATGCCTGGGCGACTCAAGAGGAATAAGATGGTGAAGAAACACAAAGAAGAGAACGAAGAACTGAAGACTGAGCGGGAAACAGAGAGAAGCAAGACAAAGAGAAGAGACACTGGAGAGACAGATGGAGGAATAAGAAAGAAAGGTTACAGACAGAGTGACAGAAAGAGAGAGAGAGAGAGGCAGCTCTGCGTCTCTTCAAGACAATGACAGGCAATGTAGCAAAGGAAAGCCACATTGTACGACAAAATACTGTGCAATACATAGGATTCATAACTGATACAGTGTGTCGTCGAATGAATTGGAAATGTGGACAGGAGTGGATCGAGGGGTCCATAAAGGTGTTGTGGCAATTACAGAGTGATCATTGGACACATTAAGTAAAGAACACCAAGACAGCATGAGAGAGGCAAAACGGGAAAGTGCGAGCAAAAAGAGAGATATGTGAGGTAGTATGTGCATGTTTATAAGTTAATAAACTTATGTACATGTGTCTGTCGCTCCTACACATCAGGGTGCAGACAGAATGCAGAAGGAGAAAGAGAAAAAGGGGGGAGGAACGGGAGGGGGAAAACAGGGAAGTGGAGATAAAGAGAGGATTAGAAGAGGGTTGAAGGGGAAGAGGGGGAAAGGGGGAAGAAAAGAGGAGCGAGGAAGAAGAAAACACATGGATCTATTTAAAAACACGGCTATATACCAGAGTCAGGCCCATTCAGAAACGTAGGTGGTTCTAAAGTAAGAGAAGAAAGAATAAAATGACTAGAAATTGGATGTTGAAAGAACAATGTAGAAGAGGATACCCCAGGGTCACAACACAGGAAACAAAAAAAGACAGAGAGAATAACGGACAAACGTCTCAGGATGAAAGGAGAGAATGACAGGGGAGGCAGACAAAGAGCAGAAACATTATCGAAAATCTCAACTCAAGGAAGCTCATATAGTTAAGGTTGAAAAGAAAGGACACACTCCCAATTCAAAAACGTTTTTCTATTTTCATTCTTTCTTTTTCTTTTGTTCCTCTATATCTGAGGACAAAATACATCTGGCCCTGAGCACTTCCTAACATAACATTAATAAAGCCTCAGTTGGAAAAAGATGTGGGACATAATACCTTGTGTTACAATTAATTTAACAATTACAGTAACTTGCCTTTGACTAGCTCATAAGGACCAACATCTTCTTTTTTTGTTCTTTTTCAGCCATTAGTCTGTACATCTGCGGACAGGTAGCCTTATATTTGATTTTTAAATACTTTGTTACATGGTGGGGTTCATGGTTGACTCAGTAACTATAAGTTGCCCTGCTCAGAACAAGCCCGGTTCATCAGTCCTCCACCACCGTGCTTGGCAGTTGGTGAGTTGCTTTCGCGTCGATAGGATGGTTTGGATTCTGTTCTGTTGTTTCTCTAAAGCTGTACTAATTCCTAGTGAAACTGGATGATTTTGACTCTCATTAAATCCTGATATATAAAACATCTGAATTGAAAGGTGTACTTTCTTTTTCACATGGCTCCATGTGTTTTAAAAACCCTAAAATAAGGCAAAAGGGCAGAGAAATTCTAATTCACAGAAATCCTAGAAATTAAATGTCTAAGCTTATCTTGATGACTTGCAAATACATAATAAAAGATAATATATATTAATATAAAACATAAGATGGAAGAAAATGCATAATTAAAAAAAGAAAGAAATGAACAAATAGATCATGGTAATTTAACCTCCACTCCTGAATGAGTAACATCATTACATGGAATCTTCACGGGCCACATCCCCCTACTCAAAGAATCTAGAGACAGTTGGATAGAAGTTAACATTTTTCCATGATTTCAACAAATTAGAAATCAATCGTTGTTGTGATGTCGCTATAATTTCATGAATGACAGAAAAATTTATTGCATGTGGAATACTTCTAGAAACAAAAAATGTCCCCAAAACACCCAGAATTGGATACAAAAGTTGAAGAGAAGAAAGAGACAAAGAGACAAAAACAGGTAGATCTGTTAGAAAAACAGACATGATTTAGCAGGCATCTCCTCTCTTCTGAGCATGCTGGAGACAGACAGAGACAGGCAGACAGCACCATGCATAAGCACAGACACAGCAGGTGCATAGCAGTATGACAAACCCAGTTATTTACCTATAAATACAGCCAAGATAAAAATAAAAACACAATTTGTTAAGCATATTATGGATTAATTTGGTAATTTGAGCAGCAGGGTGAACATGATGACTCAAGATGATTTTTTTTTTGTCATGAGAGGCATCGCTGAACATTTCTATGTAATACCAGTAAGGACCATGAACAAAAGACTGAAGAATCCAACACTAGGATAAAGTTAGCTCATAACAAGGGAAAATCCTTCACATGCTCACAGAGCTTCTGGTTTAAAAGTTAATCAGGCCAAGCTGCTTGATTCCCTTCATTTTCTATACAGTTAGAAAGAGCTCTTCAATCTTTATTAGAGGAACTATCATTAGTCCTGTTCGCTGCAGGGAGTCTGGAAGCTACAGGATGGGGAGAACTTGGCACTGCCTTAAGGATTACTGCTGTAGCCCTGTACTAACTTATAGCTGACATTTACTCTGCACCATCCTGCACCGTCTCAAGGACACAGGCTTTCATTAACCACTACAAGCAGCGAATTCATTAATATGCCCTCAATATATCTAAGAATGAGAATGGATAGGATTAATTTCAAATGCCAGACAATTAAGGCATATCACGTGGTGAGAGGAGAAAGTATCAATCAAAGAATAAGAAGACACGGCAGCTACAATATATTACAATAAAGCCAAGGAAAAAGTATTTTGATTCTTTAATCAAGTAATCAGGCAGCTCTGTAAAAAAAGTCCTCAAATGAAAATGGATACTTAAGTATGATCAGATAAATGTGCCAAATTGAAGAGATGTACTTTCTGCTTTATTGACAGAGTGAACTGCGCTAATGAATAATCACTGGTGTGTTTAAATGCTTTGTAGCTGTATAGCTATAGAATATTGCCATAAATACTACGTGAAAAATGAAAATGATAGACAATCCCTGAAACCACTACTTTAAAGCATCAGATCTTTTTATGCATTTGAGAACAGAAAAATAAAGGTGAGATGGCAAAACAAAAGACCATGAAAGTTTCAGAACCCATGATTTCACGCCTCACAAAAGATTAGCTCCACTTGCAGCAGAATAATGAAAAGTTATTAAACTCTTGATTGACTCATTATTTGTTATGTTAAAATCACTGCACGGAAATGCTTTTGAAAAATTGTGGACTGAGGCAAAAAATGAAAAACTGTGCATAAATTAAACTTGAATTCTTTTGGGAAATCATGGCGGCCATGTACTCAGGGCTATTGAGGAGGGTGACCATCTGGCTCAACATAAGCACACAAATGAAAGAAAGCACCCGTGATGGTAAAGGGGTACATTAGTGCACATGGCATGAGTAACTTGTACATCTGTGAAGGAAGCAAACAGACTGAACAATATATATAGCTCTGCAGTGGCATATTCCTTTTTGGGGGGTGACTGAAAAAGACATTGTATCGTTTTGAAATGGCCTGCCAAATGCTTTTCTCAAAGAGTCCTGATTCTGCACAAGCCTGCCTGCAGTCTATTCCTGCCATCCATTGAAAACTCGCCCAACTAGAGGGAAAAATAACAAAGAAGTAAACTTGTACTTTTGAGCACAAAATCCTACATAAATCAAGAAATCCACTTTTGAAGAACTGGTGGTTCAACGTATGACAACTTTTCTGAAACAGTCTTCTAACATGAGATTAAACTGCTCACACAGGAGTCACATGTCTATGTTTCAACATTTTAAAATGAGGTCCTCACCTTTTTACCAACTAAATAAAGACTTCAAATGATTTCCACATCAGCATTACATTTCAATTAATATTTTACACAGTGAAATTCAAAATATGAGTTGATTGCAAACTTTTACTCTAAAATGATCCATTGAAATCACTATTCTGTGTGATTCAGATGTGAAACTGTAATGTAAACTGTGCCAGTGTAATATTTCAACCTCATTAAGTGCAAGTAAATCATATTTTAACAAAATAACGGCAAAAATCCATCACTAGAGATACAAAGTTGTCATCTTGAGTGTATGTGTTGACTTCAGCCCAATGGGTGATGCTTCTATGACAAACCAAACGTTACACCTCGAAACAAAGGAGTACGTAAAAGCTGAACTACAAGTGCAACATTCTGGCTCAGTGCAGCAGCCGGAGCAGGTCTGATGGCATGGGAGCAGGGATACAAAAAAAAGAAAAAAGAGACAAAAACCGGGGGGAAAAAGGGAACAGTTGCAAGACATGATAAGACACTCAAGTTCAATAATATCACAAACCGAGCATATCAATAAGCGTGAACACACACTGTGCCATGCTCCCGTGTCAGTTTGTCAGTCAGCAGACATGCAAGCGGTGCTCCTTTCTCTTTCTCTCTCGCTCCTTCCATGCAAACATTGCCTCTTTTTAATCTTCCAATTCCTGGGTCTCCATGACAACAAGATCATACCATGCAGAAAACATTGATCGGGGAGTGAAGGCAATACCAAGGGTTCTGCACACAAGGCCTCACAATGCAGTCAATGCACTCTGCTGCGTAGGCAGACCACTTCGTCATCGTAGCGGCTTTACTTTCCTCGTTTTTGGTAATAGCTTTTAATTTCTTTCACGTCAAAGCTACCCCAGTAGTTTTTTTGTGTTCCTTTTTTTGTTTCCCTCTGTTTCAATAAGTGATGCTTTCTGAAACAAAGGAGTAACAAAAGAAAAGAAAGAGCGCACCAACCTTCTCGAAGCTCTGAGGGATGGAAGGGGGTTGATGCAGAACACAATGACGTGAGGGGGGGAGAGAGAGAACGAGGAAACACAGAGAGAATAAAAACGGCCAGCGCAAAGCCACTCGCTTCACCGCACCACTCAAAAACACACACACACACCTCACACAACGCATACACACTCCTCTCAAAAACTTGTAAATCTGAACATTGGGTGTGGTTTCTCAACAGTAAGTCAGTAATAAACCAGCAGCCACAGACAGAGGCTGGATTCAGATAATAAATTGAGATTTTGTATCTCCATGGTGCCTTCAGAGTTAGGCAAATAATTTTTTAACCATTAACCATCAGAAGTTATTTAGTTTTTTTTACTGCCTCCGGTACAGAAACCATTTTAGTAGACAGATCAGCGATGTATCCATGCAGTTAAACCGAGGTGTGTGCCCACTTTGACTATACAGTGCTGCATGAGATCACACCGAGGTTTAAGGTGGACTTGTTAGCGGTGGTTGTGAGAAATATTAAACAGCAGGGTCAACATATATTGTAGACAATGGATGGGTTAGTAATAATCATTTAAGAACACAGTCATGGAAAAGAGGTAGTTTCAATCGTAGCACCGAGAGCACCTTGGTAATAGTGGTTTCTATGTGACTTTTTCTTCGTGTGCGTGTTCATGTGCCCGTGCGTTCCGTGTTCAGGCCCTACCTCGCACGTATAGGTTTGCAGGGGAGGAGTAGCGCACGCCCTGAGAGTTGGTGGCCACGCACTCGTACTTCCCTTGGTCGGTTTCCTCGCTGTTCTCAATCTGTAACGCTCCTGAAAGAGGACAAGAGAATGTTCACTGGTGCTTGTTCAAAAAACAATCCTTTTTTTCATCCTGAGACGTGTCTGTATTTCTACAGCGTGACCCTGGGGTACTTCCCTGCCTTTAGCTTCAACGTGCAATAAAGTCGAGGCATTTGTTATTTGTACCAGGCCCCGTTTGAACAGGGTGCTCGCGTGTATCAGAGGTTGTGTTTTCTGAAAGGAATTGTATTTTCTTTTTCACCATCCAAACCCCAACCGCTCTCTTGTTCTTGGCAACAACCTGTTCAAAGTTAAGAGATTCATTGAAAAAAGTTTGCAAGTCAATAAATAGGGACATTTGTTCGAACCCAATGGCACTTTCAGTTGTGGATCTCTGAACCTGCAGCAGAAAGGTTGCTGTTGAATAGAAAGCCTAACAAAATGTTGGCAGTAAAATGGCAGCAGTAGTACCCTGAAGAAATGACCCAGTGATGCTCAGTTGTTATCCTCCATCCTGAAACTCACTGTGATAAACATTTGCTTTCTTAAAATGCTAAAATTACACATTGTAGTCATCACATATTCTTTCAGTTCAAAGGGTGCTGTCCTCCCTGCCCTGCTTCTTTTTGCTGGAGGCCTTTTGATATACCAGCAGAAACTTTTTATGTTTTTTTTGCTCTCAGTCTGCTCTGTCACATTCATGTCATCCAAAACTGACTTTGACATGGAGCCTGAGGAGAATGCACAAAACCATTGGAAGTAACTGCAATGTGTGCAGTGCAAAAGACATAACGCCAGATGGGCACGATGTACACACATTTGTGGAAAAGACACGCGCAGTGCATGTGCGTTGATAAAAAGGGTTGTGCACGGCTATGTGCACACACAGAGCAATTCTGTTAATGGATTACTTTTTAAACCAGATCCTTTGTAGGACTGATAAAAGACATGTGGCCTGTAAGAGATGTGGAGCAAGATACTGAGAGACAGAAAAAAAAGCTTTTCTTGTATTTGACTTTTTCCTATCTTTTTTTGAACACATGCAAAGAATGGCTAAATAAACTACCATATTCATTTTGTCCGTGAAAAAGAGTATTAATCCAATAGTATTTTCAAATAGCAGGAAAACACTACTGACTTTACGTGTACATTACATCCTTAAGCAAAATGGTTTCTTTCTAAGCCAAAACATCATGTGCTTTTAGTTATTTCTGTGCATGTTTGCTGTATCCACCGACCCTTTAGTAGACACAATAATGTTAACTTGGTCATACATTGCATGCAAAGTTCCAAATACCACAACCTGAAATTGATAAGATGCTGTCTCATATTTTAACTTTGAATGAAAAATCCAATCAATGTGGAAAAGAGAAAAATCTCAAGAGGAGCAAGAGGGAAGCAATATCTTCTCCAGGAGAGACAGCCTTTCAGTAGCAGTTATTCATACAGCACCGGCAAACGTAGTGACAGAATGTCGATATTAGTGAAAAGATGGCAGATGTCAAAGGAAACAGGCAGCTACACTGCCAAATAGAATACATATGGCTCTTTATAGTTCCTTTACTGCGACCCGTGATTTTTTTAAATGTAGGATTTATCTCTAAATATGACATATCTTAAAAAAAGGAGAGAGAAAATGAATACGATGTGTCTCAAATAAAATATTTGCTGGCTTTATTCAGATAACGTTTTGAAGGAACGTCTAAGAAGTATAATAACATTAATTTGCATCCTTGCAGAAACGCAGAGACTATTCTTGAGGATAAAGACAGTTTTTTTCAGTAAAAAAACATCAATATATTCATTTTCAGTCATAATTTTCTGCGGTATCAGTACCCCAGTAACAGCTGTGGGGCCCCTCCTCTTTCTCACTCACGTTGCTGTCTTGGTGCAGTAAGGACTGCAAATGCTTTGCAGAGCCTAACCAAGGTTAGAGAAATGCTCTATGACTGCAGACTATTTTCCCTATCACTTGTCTCACTTTGTCTAGTTGAATAGTATTCTTGGAAAAAACAGCTAGTGCAGAGCTCGGTACCCTCAAGAACAGAGTGCACACCTCCATCTATGCCAGTGATGATTGAATTCTTCAGTCCCAATTATCCATATTTGTAGTTTGAGAGTACTCTACTGATTTTTAAGTGAATAGAAAATGTTGATAAATGCTACACTGGGGCAGTTTTTATTTTTTACTCAGACTCATTTTGAGGACTATGACTGTATATGCAGTTTGGAAACTGTTTGGTATATACGTCCCTATTTAAGATAATGGGTAAATGGAGATGTGAAAATCATGCAATAGAGGTGTAAACATTTACCTTATTACTCTCAGCTGGAACATAAATATGTGTTTTGAGCATCTGAGTGTGTTTAGGCGCTGCTAGCTGACGCTGTCATGCATTTGCTTATGTCTGCTACAGTTACATGAAAGAAAAACAGCTTGTGTCTTCCTCTTTCTGCTTGGTTCCCCCCCCTTTAATTTCTCTGTGGTACATGGTAGAGTTAGGAAATGAGCAGGAATATATTATCCTCTTAACAAGCCTAATCTCTCCTCCAGAAACTGGTGGAGGCTGGAGGAGAGGCAGAAGAAAGAGAAGGCGGGGGAGAAAAAAGGAGTTGGACAGGTGGATCTCTGCAAACGAGAGCTCATCTGACAGCTGGAAGCAGCTCATATGGCTAGCCATCAGCACAAATTTAAAATTGGAAGGTAAAAATCTTTTATGTAAAACAGGCAATTACCATACACGGAGATCGACAGGTGTTCAGCATACGTAAACACGGAAAGGTTAGTAAATAGATAAATAAAGATGCATAAATGAATAACATGGATGACCATAATGACAGCCGTTCCCAAAAAAAATTGTGTAAACGGATGTGAAAAGAGGAGAGAGTACAAAAAAAAAGAAAAAAAGAAAGAAGAAAAGCACCTAGTTGCAGCTGACAGACACAGAATGAGATGTGACTTCAGTAAACTGAGCTACAGTGAAACCTGGATGGTGTATTATGTCTGCTGGGTTGAGACTCAGCTAATCAGATGGCAACGGATACCGCTCACCTGATAGCTCTGCCAGAACATTTAGGTCAAAGAGCTCATCCGGACTCCAGTCTCCAACAAGGTAAGAAATTAACCTTGTGGGCTGGACATTAACTTCGGTCGAGACAGGCGGAGGGCTATTTTTGGAGCAAAATCCAATTAAACAAATGAGTCAAAAGTGTTACACTTGGTCGTTTATCAGCTGAGGAGAAATGATCCAATATTATCCGAGAGAGGTAAAAGGATGTGAACATCAGGGAACATCAGCTGATTAAAGGTTGAAATTACAGTCAGGTGATTTTAATCACCCTAATGGCAGTCAGTGAAAGAAAGTTCCCCGTTTTATTTAAAGATAAAGAATTTCTTAAAGTATGATCATTGTTAGATATTTATGGAATTTCACTATATAAATAAAGGCCAAAAGTTATTAGTGCACAGCAGGGATAGAAAGAATGGAATGATCATCTGTTAAGAGTTTAGAGATCACTGATCAACAGTCAGGCTGATTGTGCACAAAAGGAAGGTAATTCCACTGTGGTAATTCCACAGTTAGACTCCTTCCAAGGGCTCAAATAAAAAACGTGTTGTACAAGAACAAGAGGGGCTGCGTGGTAAAACAATGTGCAAGTTGGATGTGCAACGGAATGAGTCGACCGTATAGAAATTGTGAAAGCGCGGGTAGAACTGAGAGACTAAGATCAAATTCTAATTTCCCAAATCTTTTCCAAGTAACAGTGTCTTCCTTTATTTTCAAGATGCTGGTGGTGCTATTCAGACCCTCTTTGGCACATGGCCCATCCACACTTATGCTACATTAACCCCCCTCTGTATGCACAGACACACCCAATCAATATGGGAGGCAGCAGGGCGTGCTGAGTTACATCATTACTACCTTAACAGTCCTTTAAATAACCTTTTCTCAAGAAAACACCTTGCAAACAATATAGTAACTTGAGGATGTCTGTTCCCTGATATAGGGATATGTTAAGACAATGTACCAGCTTCGAATTAATTGACTGCAGTCTGTAGATTGAGTGCACTAGCTGAATGTGAGTGAAGATGTAAGTTAATGTGAGTTAGACATTCACTCAAGAAAGCATTGTGTTTCTTTGTCATCATGAGTAACAGAAATATGAACATGACAATAAATACAGCTAAAAGGCCTCTTACAAACACACATTGACAGCATGAAATGATTATCATGATGAAGACCGTATAACTTCAATTTGTTTTAACGCAGTAAAATAAATATCAGATTCTCGTTCAGATTGGACCATTTGTTTTGAAGTAAACTCTATAACTGCTGATGGGAATTTGCTGCTTCTGAAACATGGTAAATGCTTAACCAGGGGTATTTTTAAATAAGCTGGAACTGTTATGTCATAGTATAAATCTGAAAATCTGAATGATTCATGGAATGACACATTTTCAGAGCTGGGCCAAGTTGGGCTATGTTGGAGTTTGAGTTTGTGAATTGGCCATTACTTCCGACGACATAGTCTGTAGACATTCTCTGTATGTTTATTTTCTTTTTACTAATGTTTAACCTTTAAAACTAACTTTAAAGGCGTAATATCATGGTGATAATTTCAGAATTGCAGTTGGTGTCAGTGAAAAAGGTAATTCAGTGCTTCCAACACAAATATGACACATATGTTTTTCTGAATAAAAAATGAACCAGTATTACTTCATTGTATATTTGTACCACATTTTGACCAAATTGAATGCATAACAATATGGCTTGACAGAAACATGCTTGTGTACATTTTTACAAAAACTGATGACAACTTGATATTAATCTTTTCACTTTGAATAAAAAATTGTGTCACTCTTTGAAAAGCAAAAGCAACAGAAGATCTTGACTAAGTTGCCTAATACATTATCTGGTTTGCCTCTTATTTTTCTGCAAGATATCAAAGTTACATCAAATTCAGACTGAATTATTTAGAATATCTAGTCCTGAGAGTTTTGCTGGACTAGTCCTGATTAAATTTTCTTTAAAATATATTTTTTTGTCTCACAGTTTTATGTAAATATTTTGTGGATTTTCATGAAAAGAAAATCCTTGAAACTTGTTGCTGCTATTATCTGCAGATTAACTGTTGGATAAACATGCAAAGATTCATGGGGAAAAACTTTGTCTGACCGAGACTGCACTCATAATCATTACCGCAGACCTCGATCAGCTCCCAGTTCTTAACAATGACACAACCATCCATTATCCAGTAATCTACCTCTGAGTCCATATCACATGCCATCTAGAGTGTGTGCCTAAGAGGGTCGCTAAGTGCTTTTGGAGGCTCTCCAGCTTGTAGTCTGAAATGTCAGAGATAGACAGATAACTTGTCATGGATCTCCTCATGCACACCTAAACTGGTGCAGCAGATGGCTTGGAAAAATAAACGGATTACCAGTGGAGGTATAAAGACGTCAGAAAAGTTGAGCTCTACATATGTTTCTGTCCCCAGGAATTGGGGGTACATGCATGTATGTGTCTGTACAGGTATCATCCACAGATGAAGGGTTCTGTAATGGCCGGGGATCCTTTTTGTCTTTTCGTGAGACGTGAGTGATAAGCCATATAAAATAATTCCTTAGACCAATCAGAGAATGAAAAAGAGGGTACAGAAAATTAACCAGTTATTGTGCATCAAAACAGAGTGCTGGCTGGGTTCTAGTGAGACCTGGAAGCTTTCCTCTGAAGCTGAGCGTTCGCTTGGATGATGCCACCATTAACATTTTACCTTAAAGGAGTTTTTCACCCATAACATACTTCAGGGCCATTTTACGCCTTTCTTATTTGCGATTGATTTTCGTAAAGTCATTTCATTGCAGTGTACGGTTCATTATGGCGCACAATTATTACTCAGGTTTGTGACGTTTTGGTGATTTTCAATCCTATTACAGCCTGCAGTGAATCTCACAGAGCCATTTGTCTTGCTAATGTTTAACTGATGAGATCTGTAGCCTAATATAGTCTATGTGTGAATTTCTGTTATGTCCATATGACACTCTACAAAGGACCACACACGGCTCATTTCAGACCAGCAAAACTCTACCATATAATGTCTGACCTGTTTAAATGTCTAAAATATATATTCATACATCCACCAGTATCAATTTAGTCATCTTCTGTAAGTAGTGTGTTTATATTCTCAACACACAGTCTAACTTTAAAATTCAATAGGCAGAACCTAATGTCCACCCAGAGCCAATTTATGACTGATTATCTTTTGCTGAAAGCATCAATTTGCACGCTATTTAATCCTGCACACATGCATAACAATGATTACAAAGTATAAAGTTACATACTATTATCAACTATTATCATTATTTATTGCAACATAACCCATAAGCTATGCGTCTGAACAGGGGTTTTGTTTAAAAAGGCCTAAAAGACATCCTAATTTACTGTTACTGTCAATAACATCAGTTCCTAAATAAAAGATAAAAAAATAAAAAATGGAAAAATAGGAAACTGTAGATCTCTGATCGACTGCCGTTGACGATTCAGACTATTTTTCTTTCTTAAAGTTGGTATATACAGCTTTAGCTCCCACCCTCAAGTCTCATAAATGTATTCAAACATCATAACAACAAATCCTACAAATAGTGATGTAGACATAGAGTTGACAAAGACGTCTAGTGGTCAGTAATGGATATGGGCTGACAGCAGTATAAAAAATCAGGACTGGCAGGACGAGCGGGCACAGAGAATATGGATGAAGCAACAACAAAATGGTTTCGCCTCACCATCACTTTCATTCCCCCTGAGGATAGCTGAGTGAGAATGGCTGTGAAAAAGCAGATCTGCCTACTCCAGGAGACACTGTATCATCTATACAGAGGAGCATAAACAAAGCTGAATAAACTGTCTTACAGCCAAGACACGATTTCCCATACGCATCCCTCTATCTGTCTGCACAGGCTCACCATATCCTTTTTCTCTCATAGCGAAAAAAGACATTTTTAGACACTGGGGTCATTAAATCCGATCTCAGATGGGGTGAAGATCAGCATAAGTTGAATGCATAACATCGAAAAAACATTTCTGTCTCTATTGATTTTTACAGTTGAGATCCACTTAGCTGGGTCAAATTGATCATATGTTTAGCACCATTATATATTTTGTTGATTTACTGAATATTTATGTGCATTTTTTGTCAATCTGCAAGGCAAATATTGTTTTGACTGCATAATGAAGATAATTTTTTCCTTTCACATTTATGATTAATGACAGAAAAATCATTTTCCTTTAAGGTGCTAATCTTTCCCTCCAAATGTTAATAAAAAAAAGCATTTTTATCTGGCTTAAGGGTGGTAAAATCTTCCTCTTAATGAAATTGGCTTTCAAAAGGTATTACACTCCCAAAGGATGTACATAAACGGCGATAAACAGAGAGCAGCATGTAATCCCTCAGTCATAATTAAAACATGATAATCACCAAATTTAGCGCTGCGGGGATTTACCTGATTGCAAATCTAAGCTTTTGAATCGCCATTTGTTTACCTACTGATAAACCAAAGCTCATATTTCTCACCTGATCGAAGCTGTTTGATGCGGCCTCCGCTGACACTTGGCTCCACAGGCAGGAAGTCTTTGAACCAGGAGATCTCTGGGTCGGGGATGCCACTGGCAGCACAGAGCATGGTGGCCGTCCTTGTCCGTTCCACCACCTTCAGCTGGGGCCCCATGTCAATACTGGGGAAGCCAAATGGCAACAGGTCCTCTGGAACAGAAATAATGCAGAATTCAAATCTTACTGGGGACAAAACTATGATTTTTTCACTGTGGCGGACTGAAAATATAATGTTCACACTGTTTACACAAGGCCAAGTGTGACAAAAACTTGTTTGTTCTTATTAACTTTTCATGTAAGCATGCTAACAATTAATAATTTGAAAAAAAAGTACATACATTTTTGCAGGACCATATGAAAAACAATTATTTGCACAAACATTTTTTGATAGATGGGACATGGCCAAACAGATTTTATTTTAATTATTTTTTTTACACTATCTGGATAGTGAAATCCATCTGGATTCAGGATTTTGACACCAAGCTGTGGCAGATGCATGAACTCTTAGACCGTCTTTGTCTGAGACCATGGACCTGCAGTTTTCCTTTAAAACAAGTGACCATTTTGTTGAATTTATCTGCCTGCTCTGACAACAGTCATCCCAGTCATGTGCTCAGTCTTAACATTTCCACATCTGCGGGGAAACATAGGATTTGCTTACATGTACTGTATGTGAGAGGTACTGTTCCTCAGTCTAACATCTGCAGAGCCTTTAAAGTGGACATACTTGCACAGACAGCAGAGCCAGTATAGCCTTTGTGATCAAAGCCTCGAGCTTATTCGTGCACCAAGGTAGTCATTAGGCAATATAGCAGGCAGGGAGAACCACAGCGAGGTTCTCTGTGTGTTTGACAGGCTGCTTCTGGAAGACTGTAAACACAACACCCACTCGGCAGGAGTTACTTAAGTTCCGATCCAAGGCCACACAGACATATAGCTTACATTACTAACCAAGAGAGACAGGTGTTTGGTGCTTGTGGTGATTTGTGAGTTCTAAAAGGTGTGGCTCTATGTTAGGTACTGCTAATGATTCCTGTCTAATAACTATGCAGAGAGCCTTTCAAAAACGGCATCGGCAATTAGAAGCTGGGCTGGAGGGGGAGGGGCAGGGCACAGGGGGTAATAAGGACTTGTTAGCAGTAATTGTTAAAATGTACCAATGATTAGAAAGGCTGATCTGGGATGCGTCTGGATATGTCTGATTATGTTGGGGGAGGCGCGTGCAAATGTGTTCTTATAACTGTGTTCACATTAGCATCTTCGAATTCATCGGATTTTGGAATAATATTCGGTTGCACGTCCACACACATGCATTAAAATGAAGGTGTGCACTCAGGGTAGTGGTGGCTTCCTGTCTCGAACACACACTCACACACACACACGTTCTCTGTTGAATGGGATTAAGAATCTTGGTGACAACCGTCCAGATGGCCAGAAACGTAACTAAACATCCATCAGCCCACCTGTTTCTTGCTCTCCTTGCTCTCTTAACCATTCCATCTCTCTCTCTGCCACACATACCTCCTCCATACAGAGGAATCATTTACATCGCTGCAGTAATGGAAAATTAGCTTAGAGTGCATTTGTATGGCCATGAAAATCCCTTCGTTGTCAGGTACAACAAAATCTGCTGAAAGTGAGTCCAGCATCACAGCAAATCCACAGCACAACACAGTCCAAGATACGGCTCATGGCCACATTGACTGTCTGTGTGTGTTTTTTTTCCACCACTCATCTCCTCCTCCGGGCCCCCTGCTACCTAACCACATGACAGACACATACCATCTGTTCTCTCACACTCTGTGACGAGGATGAGAGACTGAGCGGAGATAGAATCTATCGCCCTCTGTCTCCCTTTCTACAGTTATAGGCACTGCAGAGACCCTGTCAGACCCCATCATCCTGTTGCTGAGGAGAAACATCTCTAAAGTTATGAGGAGAATCAAAGCTCTGACAGGGGTGCTTATCGTGGTGATCAGGCCTCGTACCAACCTTCTGACAACAGAAAATGAATTGACTTCCCGATTCACAGTCTCTAGCATATCAATGCTAATAATCCACCTGAGTGGAGGACGGTGGTGTGACCACTGATGAAGCAAACAGGAGGAGGATGGAAGGAAAAGACGAAGATCGATGGGCAGGTCAGGAGGCTAGCTCCCCCAAGGCGATGAATATAGTAGGCCTACATCTGCTCCTCTTTGCCCTCACCCGATCCCACCCCTCTCCTGAGAGAGTTCAGATGGTCTTTTTATCACTCTGCTGGCTACTACTACATGGACTCCCAGGCTGTTAATTAGAGCGCACCACTGCACTTGGTTTAGGGCAAGAGCACATGTGCATGCGCGAGTGTGTGTACATGTATGTCTGAAGGGGGTTTGGCTCTGCATTCCAGTCAGGTCCTTATTAATGCAGCAAATCAGAGAGGCGTGGGTGGACCTTGGACTGAGAAATTACGGAGAAATTCAAGAAACAGGGGATGTGTACAAACAGACAGATATGGTGCCATGCTGTGAAAAAATAGTTGATAGAAATTCTTCAAAGCCCAGGGTTACAATTTAAGGGATTTGAGCAAGAAATTGTCATTTTTGTGAACCTAGAATAAGATGATGTTTTATTTCAATGTTTGAATTATGCTTTTATGTATTTTTTTTCTTTTCAGTACAAACTTCTCATGTGTTCACCAATCGTGTGTCATATATATGTGCACAGTACTCATTTGTCTGTCACTTGACAGAACATGCATTCATAATTGTTCATCTAGTCGTTAGTTGTTTTGAGAATAAAGAATGTCTACATATACACACAAACACACACAAATATATGTATATATATTGTGTGGATGTGTTCATTTAAAATAAATGTTTAAAATGGGTTTATTCATAAAATGAGAAATTAATGATTCAGATCAATCTGTTCTGTGGGGGTTTTATTCACAAAATACAAGCGAAATAGGATGCATTATAATTAATTCCGCTGAATTGTAGAAAAGCTCCACCTTGAACAGACGTCAGATAAATAATTTAAAAACGTTCATAAATAATGCACTCACAGACAGCTCATACATGCTTTCTTTTCATTTCCTTTAAAATTTCCGTTAGAGTTCGACTATTTCCTTTAGTATTTCCAGTACTCATATTCAATTGGGCAAAGGCTCAAGATAAAGTGAGACAATGTTTCCTGTATAAAAAACACGAACCTGACTCATTTGATACGTCAGCAGACTCATTTCTCTTTCATTGAAGTGAAAGCAAAGTTGACAGTCTGAAGCAGAGCAACTAAAATTTTCTGTGACAAAAAAAAGGACTATTGCTTCAAATGATTTGCCCTTGTACACAGAGTCATGAAAAAATTCTGTCTGTCAGTGACATCTGTGTTTGTGTGACGATCATTTGTTTTATGGACCGGCAAAACGTGCACTGCTCATGTAAAATGACTACTGGAAATAGATTAAAAACAAAGGAAAAGGAGTCTGGCAGAACAACGTTATAAAGACTGACCAACAGATGACCACGGCACTCCTGCACACGCTGCCCTGTTGACGTGGATAAACCAGCAAATGGATAGCTGCACTGGACTCTTAAGCAGAGTCCAGTGGAGAGGAGAATAGAGAGCTACAGGTAACTCTGCCAGTTCCTGGATGAGTCAGCCACCGCTTGAAATAGACACTGCGGGCATGGCCTTGATCACACTTTTCACCAAATGAATCATTTATCAAACACAAACACTGCAGCACAAAAGTCAAGCTAATTTTTCATCTCCTGTTTAAAATGATAAGACAGCCTATGGAAAAATGCACCATGTTTACACAAAACACTGTGTGTGTCAACAGTGTTTCGGGGAACATTGGCAAGTGCTGAGCAGCATTGTTCCCGGGAGCTTTGTGTTTTTGTGTATTTGCCTCTATCAGGAGGTTGAGAGTGTACGTTTTGGCCTGGGTATGTTTGCAGAAGGGCAATCAGGACTGGTGCCCAAAACCAGTCAGCGGAGCCAACCAGATCTGGGCAAACATGCAACTTGTGTGTCCATGTGCTCACATACACATGCATTGGTGGTAGAGTGTAGAGGTACACACTCTGAGTCAAATGCATAACGTATATGATGCAAACAAACAAAGAGGAATCCAGGTTTTCTTTTCCTGTGTCCCTTTATACTTTCCAGCTTCCATCTCCAACACACAGAAACACACTGTCTCCCTCTCTTGCACACACACACACACGCGGACATACTAAGACTTGTTGAGAAACAGGTTGCTTATTCATATTTCAGTTCATTTCAGTGGGAAATGGCAATGTGCATGAAAGGAACCAGCATAAAAGCGAATCTCAGGCAGCCTGATTAGGGATTAATCTGGCAGCACTCAGCCCTCTTCAGGGAGACTGCAATGCATTGACTTCCATAGACTCCAGGAGGGGTTGGATGGGAGCACTTTAAATGCTAATAGACCTTTATGATAATAGATCACAATACAATGCAAATTCAGACAACATCAAAGCCTTCGTGTGCTAACCATTCCTGCTTTAGTCCTGCTTTAGCAGCTGGGGACTACAATGTGCTGCTACCATATGTACCACTCATGTATGTACAACATGAAAGAAGAATAGACGGCAAAGAGAAGCAAAAACAGAGAGAGGATGAAGGGAGAAGATGAGGGTTTGTGATGAAAGAGACAGTACTACACTGAAGGAACGTAATCCTCTTCCAGGCTGAGTTGATACTCTCAGTTGTTTTCAGACTCAAATGCTGCTTGAGCTGCCGGCCTGCCAATGCAGCTGACGCCTGGGGGAATCACTGATCTGACTCTGTTGTTCATATGAAGAGTGGTGGCAGAATATCTCTACTCCCATTTCTCTCACCCCCGTCCTCCCCCTTTCCTCACCTCTCTTTCTACTAAAATGGGACACTGGGAGGTGAGTATAATCAGGATTACTCTGCACAAACCAGGCACACACACAAACAGCTATGTGCAGATACACACATCCATACAGGGAAAAACAAAACAAAACAAAATCGTGCACAACCATTAAAGTCGTGGACGAGCATACACATATATGGTGCCGTTGTAACAAAATTCTCTAGCCCACTAGAGGTTATCAAACATTCAGAACTGCAGATATTCCATATCTGATAAAGACAGAAAAGCACAGATGCTGCGTCCCAAAAAAAACAAAAAAGCAGTTTGGATAAAGTAAGAACGGGGTTGAGCAATAAAGAGCCTGAAAAATGCAGTGGGAGAGGTAACGTGACACTCCGGACTGACAGTGAGGGTCAAGGGAAAATGAAAGGATGAATAAAACAAAAGAGAAGAAATTAGAAACGGATATCGCTGTGGGCCAAAGAGAAGGCAGCTGGAGTGAGAGGCTGGGAGACGCAGTGAGGAAAAAATAGAGGAGGAAGAGAAGCTAATGGGAATGGTGATGGATACTGATGATGAAATAGAAATTCTTCCTTACCATAGCCAAACACATCTCCCTTCTCTACAGAGCACCAGTGCATGTCCTGTGACCAGTCGCATGTCCTTCACATTGTGCAACACGCTAATAGCCTCGCTTAACTTTTACACATGAGGATGATGTGAAACACATCTGGAGATGATAAGACTTTGAGCAGTTCTGGAAAGGTTTCTTTCTACCCCAGTGGTTGGTAAGCATTTTGTCTCAATAAACCACTTATTCTAAAAACTGACCGAAGCACAATTTTAGTAACATTCTTGGATTTCACTATCTGCTCTACTGCTGTTCTTCCATCAGAAATGAACCTTTCGGTAATCTTCTTTTAAGGTTGGCGAGGGTTCATCCTTTGAATCTCCAGCATATCTGTATGGTTTGGAGTTTCTTGTCTGTTTCCAGACTTATTTATATTCTAATACTTTATTCTTTGTGTCTCTGGCCTTGTGTTCAGCTTCCAACGTTGTGTGATCTCTTCATCTCAGTGTATGCATGTCTGCCCTATCATTTCAGCCCTCTCTGCTTTAACTATGTCTTCTGAGCGGGATTACTTGCGCATTGTGTTTCAGTTTTCTGAAACACAATGAGCAAGTAATCAAAAAGTAAAACTTTTGGATTTTTTACATTTTGTTTAGTTTTAGATTTGGATTTTTGCCTCAATCCTGCTAGTGTGCCTGCAAGGCTGACTCAATCCATACTTGATTTATACCTCTTTGAATAAAAATGTTGGATTTTGTACTTTTTTTGCTAGGGGTGTCATGTGTTGGGATCCACAGTTAACCATCACACGTTTGTATATTTATGATATCTGCTTGAGGAATGCCTCAAGGGCTTGCATGGGATTTATTCGTTGGCACAAATCACTAGCAACTGTATTAAAAAGTATAGAATCAAAATATAAATAGAGAGCCTTCGAAACTTCCCCCTATTTTCTTCCACTTCTCAATTACTCTTAGTAAAAAATAGTTTTTTGCCTAACCAAGAAACAAATTCACTCTATCTGTGATCACTTTCAGTGAAGATATTGGAGATAAATGTTATTTACACATTGTTTAATTTCCCAAAATTAGATTTAGGGTTTTACACTCCCAGCTGTTTTCACTCTCAAACTGACTATGATAACTGTTACTGCTAATTGTTAGCAATGTCCTTTGAAGAATAAGTGTCTACAGGAGAAAAACAAGAAATGTTTCCTAGAAAAAAAAGGCTGAATTAAATAAAACTTAAATTCATTATGTTGAAATACTTATGAAGATGCTTTCATCTCAATGGCAGCTAGACAGTTTAAAAAGGAGTTTACAATGGCGACTTTCTGCAATATGAATAAAATTCTCTGTCAAGGAAAATTCAATTCTGCACCCAATGAATAAATTAACCACACAAGAAATCATGTTCTCTGGCAGTTTTGTTCAGTTACATTTAAAAAGAAAATCAGTCTGACCTCATACATCCAAAGAAATCCCATCAACTGCTGACAAAGTGTGTCAACATATGATGGCTGACCAATTTACATTATCTAAACATCACAAATGCGTGTGTTCATCGCGATTCCAAGACATTTCCTAACCATTAGCCCGAAGGTCTGAATCCCATTAAATATTGCTTAATTTCCTGATGCCCTGCACTCTGTTCTCCAAGACAGATCCTTCTGTTGTCACACAGGGGGACAGGGACCTTGAGTTACACAGAACTCAGTGAAAGAAAAAGTTTACACAACCAGAGGCAGAGATGAACATGACCGCACACACACGCTTTCCCAGGCTCACCCTTGAGGTGTAGTTTATGTGGTAATGTGCTTTAGATTGGTGCTGTGTGTGCAGAGATGATGGGCTTGGTAACAGATGGACAGGAGTCTATTCCCTGGGCTACTAGCCTTCTGCTTACCACACAGCTCTGCCAGCTCCCCAGTCCTCATCCATCTTCTGCTTCCCCTACAACCCCCTCCTCCCCCTCCCCCAGCATCCCATTTCATCTTTATTGTTTCACACCATCTTGTTGCGTTGCTCAACTTACCCCCACCTCCTCACCCTCCATCATGCTAGCTTTCACCTCTTGCCAACATCCCCCCCCCCCCCCACATTCTTCCCCTCCTCAATTACTCTTGGTAAGAGAGGTTTTTTTTCCCCCGCCGTGGCCTAATCCCATGAATTTCTTTAGCTGAGCAACAGCCCGAGCAGCGACTCAGAACTACTCTTCATCCGTTTCCGCTGTGGAGGGCATTTTTGCAGGTCGAAACTCAAGCTCATAACATGATGGGGAACCAAATTACTGTTCCAAGAGGATAGTCAGCGATAGAAATAACGTCCTCACTCCGGCCAGGATTGCAATCATCATAATAAGTCGGAATGCTGAAATAGCCTTGAGCTAGAGTCCTAACTCTGTTCCTCTCTGTAGCCAAATCTGACTAAGGACTATAAAAATATCTGTCCACAGCAACCTGCTGTGCAGGCAGGGTGTGGTGTCACATCCGTGACTGACAGCCCCCTAAAACGAAGGCTGAAGCAGCATGTAGAGAGAAATAACCTGTATGTGCGTTTCTTTGACTCACCCCTGATAATGGACAGCTTTGCAGTAACGGTCACTTCTCCCTCGCTGTTGCGAGCCACACACTCGTAGGTGTTCTCATCTCTGGGTGCTCTGAGTGGCTGGATCCTCAGCACGGCACCCGCTCCCTCGTCAAACTCTATAGTCTGGACAGCCAAAAAGTCACAAAATAACATATATTAGTCACGGCAAAAGCAAATCGTTAAATCCTAATATCACAGCAGCGAACTTCGTTATATTGTTGCACATTAGAATTCTAGAGTCTGCTGAGCTTATGATGTTCAAATCATAACTGTATACAACTCTTTCAGAGCACTGTCATTTCATATCTTTTTCTCCACAGAAATGTTGCTGGCTGGGGGCAGATGCAGAATGTCTACTTGCACACATGCTCCTGAATCTGATAGCCATCAGTACCTTGGTAAAAGACATCCCATCTGGGTTGATTACTGTACTTACCGAGGTTATGTGAGGTTGATCTGGGTTCTCCGTGTGAAATGCCACATCTTTAAGAATTGTGAAACATTACTGCATCAATGTACAGTCAGGCCTCTAATTAATGGACTGGCGTGGTTTGTAGAGTCCAGTTCTTCTTAACCGGTGTGTTTTAAAAGTGTATGAGTAAAATTTCTAGTAAAAAATGTTGTCTTTTTATTTTCAAGTTCTCAAAAACAAGGTAATTATCATGCACATTTGACTATGGCCTAAAAATCTTTCCATAAAAACATATTTGCTGAGAAATTGATACCACTCCGATTACACTGCAGGAATGGAATAATTTGCTTTAGCAAAAAGTCTATTTAAAGATCCATTGATTTATGCAAGGGCTCTTATAGAGTTGGGAAATATACTTCAGTTTATAAAAAAAAATCATCTCACTGTTCTGATTGCCCAGCTGAGTGTTTGGTCAAACATTTATGAAGCTGCCAAAGAACAGGCAGAACTACAAATAAATAGTTCAGGAGCAGCATCTTCCCTGCTGATTTATTCTCATTGGTCTTATCTTTGGATAATGTAACTTAGTGGACCTGTTAAATGCAAAATACATCACTCACTCAATGGAATGTCAAAATCACACTTTGCCCTCTTAAACCAACAATAAAGATAAAAAAAATATGTTTGTATTTTAATCTTTAATAACTGGAATATTCAGCCAGATGTACTGTGAAAGACTGCAGTATTTCTAAAAAAGCAAAACAGAATTAAAATAGACCGTCTGAAAAACAATGTTTAACCTACTAGTTAACATTACTCTGTGTCAACAGCATATTGATGTGTTTGAACAGAAATATTGCAGTAACGGAAAAGCGTTTTTTTGTCATGCGTTAGAGGTGAACATTGTGCACTGTGACAACCACCTCGATACGCTGAGAGTTGACTTTCTTGCCCTTCTTGTTCCAGTATACGACAGGCTTGGGATTGCCAGAGGCCTGGCACACGAATGAAGCCGCTCCGCCAGACACTCCGATCTGGTCTGTGGGAATCTTGGTGAACCTCGGAGGGGCTGAAAGGGGTAAGAAAAAAAACAAACAAACAAACAAACACACAAAAAAACAGGAGTGTGAAAAACTGACACCTTATCCCCAATAGACATCAAACTAAACTCTGCATCCAGCAACAGCCCCCTGCTGACCCCACCCCATTTCACTGTCGGTGACTCGTCAGCTTCGTGATGGCTACGCCGTTATCCTTACTTCCTGGGTATCATCTAGAGGACACGCTGAAGGACTTCCTGTGGGTCATAAATAAAATATGGGGCTGAGCCACAGAGGAACATCTCTCTGTCTCTCTGCCTCCTTCACAGCAGAATACCGTTGCACCGCATGCAGCATAGGCTGTCATGACACATGAGTGTTTCACAGGTAGGAGAAGTGTTGGCTGAAAAATCACAGCATATAATTGGTTTAAATGTATTAATACTGGAGGCATGATTTTGTGCCTGCACATGCCAAACACCTATAGGGGATTTGCGGCTACAGTTTGCAATGATAAAAAAAAAAAGCACTAACATTTGTCATGTTAACTTCCCTCTTTGCAACAGTGGAGAACTTCAGGTGGATAATTTCAGTGATTACCACAATGGGAAGTTTAATGTTAGCACTGCACTAGCGCTCTGCCAGAAAATAGCAATTTCCAAGTGTGATATTGAACCAACAGTACTGAACCTACACTTTTCACAGTGGCTGAGTCAGATCATCCTCATGCATCCACCCATTGCTATCCGTCTGTGGCCTGTTGCCATGGTGCCCAACTTAACTCCTCTTCAGCTAGAGAATCACTGCTATCCATCAGGGCGAAGTCAGGATGACCCTTACCATAGCAACCTGGATCCCTCCTCCCCTACATCTGGGTGGGTGAGGTCGTGTTGTCTTGATTGAAGACAGAGTAGGAACAAAGAAAAAAAAAAGAAAAACGTGCCTACCAAAGCATCACAGGCAGATTCTTAAGCCTGTTTGAACATCGTCCCACTCACTTCCTTGTTAAAGCAGCCTCACAGAGAAATTTCCAAATTCTCTCTACTGTGCCTTGACAGTTGCTGGAATAACATGATGACAAAAGGCTGCTCCCGCCGTGTGCTGCACTGTGCTCTCACAGGAACTCGCTCTGAATGTCAGAAATAACGTGGTTTCATTTTGTGCTCAAGCAACAAGGAGAAAAACACGGGTAGACTATATTCAGTCTAAGGGAAATGATTCAGTCCATATTGTTTGCCTGTAATACTCTTCGAAATCCGCAGACTTTGGGGAAAAAACAAAACAATGCCTTTTTTCTTTTCAACGATGCAAAAATGTGGGCTTTTAAAGTTAGGTGAAAAAAATGCCTGACACAGCTTTTTTTCTGGCTATAGGATTATAAATTAATTCCATGTTCTTCTTAGGGCTTGAACAAGGTTTTTATGGCTTTATGTTGAATCGAATGTTTTCTGCATTCTCTTAAATGCACTTCAGCTACAATCCGTGTTCAAAACCGACCCCACTGGCAATGTAACCACTTAAGCCTCTTCTGACAGCCAAAGAAAAGCCCTGCAAGGCATTGGCTCTGGTCGGATTTGCACTCAACAGAAACTTGTTATGATCGGAAGGTTCTTCAAAGCTGCCTGGGAAAAAAAGGGGGACTAATGAGGACCTCTGTCTTTTTAATAGTGGGCTTCACTCCTCTGACAGAGAGTGAAACCTGAAAGTCTACCGCTCGCCGACAACTGGCCTGATTCTAATGGAACACCTCTAAAACTTGCAATAATTTGACTGAGTGATTGGCTGTTGCTGTGCTCGGACATAATAGTCAGCAGCAGTGTATACCATTTCACATTTGGGAGACAGAAAAGCAATTTGAACCTTGGATTTGTTTCAGGTCAGACTGTAATCAGGCTTTTGGTAAAGAAATTAATTTTGGAAAATTCATTTTAAGACCTGGTAAATGAATCAGTTTCTGCTGCCTTAGAAACACGGAAACCTTGTGGCAAAAATCAACTGGAAGTGGTAAAAAAAAACAAGAAATCAGGTTTTCATGAATTCATGTTTGTTGATGGAGAGACAAGCAATAATCATAATAATAATAATAATCTAATAATGTCTTTCCTGAACACTATTTACACTGTTGAAACACACTGTGGGTGTAAATTCCAAAGACACCTGTTGGCTGTTGTATAATTTTACCCCTTTACAACAATAAAATATTTCTGATAGAACATCAGCCCTCTCAAAGGGTCACAACTTGAAATTGGTTGCAAAAATTGGAAAAAAAAAAAAAACCTGATTAGAATTGCAGAATTTCAAGTGGTAAGAAGTGACACATTCCATCTTCAGCCTCGGTGACATTTTCAGAGCAGTGACAGTTGAGTTTGTTTCAGCAAATGCGTGCTGACTGCCAAGGCAGGAAATGTGTGGAAATGTTGTAATCAAGAAGATGATGAGGAACACGCTGATGGGACCTCCCGCCCGATCAAAACACATTAACGACGCCACATTTCAGAGCTGATATACTGACAGCCCGAGATGCACTGACACCCACACGCTGTGTGCGCATATTCAGGCACATTTTCCCATATACATCCTTCTATGAATCACATTTTCTGCCTGTCCTTTAGATATAGACCGAAAAAGAAAGAAAAATATAGATAATTATTATACCTAGTGCTCCACACATGGTGCTCCAAGGTCTGGTTAGCAGGACAAATAAAGGCAAAAGCAGACATAGGGGAGATGGGTGGAGGCAGAGCCTCAAGATGGGCCGCCTGGACTGGGCCTGAACTCTGCCTGGCTTCAACAGAGGCATGTCACCACCGATGGGCTGGTTGGAGATGACGGAGATGCGGGATGGGCTTTACTCAACAGGGAAAGGCACTCTGCAGACAGAAAAAAAAATCAAAGGTCAGACATATTTTCTTCACCTCCGAGTCATTGCACTGAAATATAAATGCACCATAAGGAAATAGTATTTAATGTCGTAAAAAACATTAAATACATTTTTTGGGGGGGAGCTAAAGCAGAGGCAGGCAAACTGTGATGGAAATAATACCTGAACAATAGATGCTCTGTAAAATAATTGACTAGAAACATACCAAAATAGTTTTCAGAATACAGCCCTTGTATTAATCAGTCTCTTTATTCAGTGAGCTGTGAAATGAGCTGCAATGATAGTTTGAGGAGTTCTTTTACTCCCCAAAGACGTTGTAGTAATTTCATCTTAGCTTCAGCCTAATACCTTCTTAGTGTGCAGCATTTTAGTGTTCTGGTGGCACATAAAAGTGCTAATGCAATGATACATTTAGAGTGTGTCACAGTAATGGAAAAACACTTAAACAAAGAGGATTTGGGGGTGGGGTGGCGGTGGGGCTGGGGTGTGTGTCTGTAGGGGGGTGGGGGGGGGGGGGGGGGGGGGGGGGTCAGCAGGAATGCAGCAGAATTCAATAACAGGAAATGGATGAGAAATTGTAGCTTTAATAGATGTCCTCCTCTTGTTAATCCTAAGCCTTAGGGGGAGAGTCACCATTATTTTTTTTTTCTCCTCACATAAACACATACAAGCGTAGTCACGCTCGTCTGTAAGTCTCGGCATAATTCACTTTTCTGTCTGCTCGCATAGATTTAGACAAGCAGTGCAGAAGTGCTGCGTCCGGGAGTCAATAACTCCTCAGTCTTATCAAGCTCTTCCGTCCCCCACCCGTCCGCCCCGTGTGTCGGAGCGCAGGTGGGGAGGCCAAATGAGAAGGGAGCCTTTGTTAACCTGTCATATATCACACACACATACAAACGTCTCTTCAAATCCCAATACAGGATAACATATATGCTCTTTGGGACACATTAAATGTAGTCACAGGTGACAGGCCACGCTGAGATCGACACATGGACATGTGCAAACATCCATAAGTGGGCTTTCATCCTAATATCTACGACAGATTGGCAGAAATAAAGAGCTTAGATTTGGCCACCCCTTTGCTTGCCTTTAATAAATGAAAGAGGCATTTCTGGTGTGTTACATATTAAAAGACTCCTCCAGACACTTATTGGGCTAATGACCTGCTAAAATGTATTACTGTCTGCCAGCTCCTACACTGAAAATAGCTCAACCGAAAACACGTCTGTCGATCTGATGCAGGCTTTTTTTCCCCCGTACTGCATCGCTCTCGTCTTATCTAGCGCTGCGTTACAGCAGCAGAATAGAAAAGCTTTCAGCGTCTCCTTTTCAATTGAACAACGCGATAAGAAAAATCAGATCAGAGCTCATTCAGCCACCATTGGCAGCATGTTAAGTAAATTCCCCACTTACAGAAACTCGATTTGGCGACGTTAATCTAACCAGGGCCACTGTTTTCCGTGCAGCCACATGGCTGGTAAAACATCAGGTACTGCTCACGTGCATCTGCCTTGTTTTTGTGATTTTATGGGATTGATCGGCCAGGGTTGTCTTACACAACCTCTCTTTGACCCTCATCATAATTTTATTCACTCGTCCTTACTGTCGTACATCTGCTGACAACCCCTTCTCCACTCTACCTCCATTTCTATTCATGCCCTTTAACTAATCCCAAATCTTACTTTGGTATTACTGTTTATGTTCCTAAAATCTCATCTTCTCCCATTTGCTTTTATCCCTTTTCACATTTCCCTTCTCATATTCCTGCTCGCCCTCCTTGTTAACCGCCTCTCTTGATGCCATTTCCTCCGCAAAGCCCTGTCATTCATCTCCTTCACATTTTACAGGCACTCCAATCTTTGGTTGTACACAAATACTCTCCCTTTCTCCAGCTGTCCGGCACCGGCTGCACCAGCTGTTGTTAGTCCATTGATTCCGTTCGAACAAAAGGGCTTACAGCATCTTACAGCTGTGGATGATGAAGGAAGAAGCCAAAACAGCATAACAGGCCTGTCTGGGCATGCCTACACATGTTTTAATGGTATAAAATCCTTGTTTTTTTCCTGTCCAGACATGTAGATAAAGAGCTATGGCCTGCTTGTGCGGAAGGAGAATTAAAAGCGAAAAGCACTGTGGGCATGCCTATCCTCACGCCTTAAGCCTAACGCAGTCTGCACAGCCCCCCCTCAGAGATATCACAACCTGCTTCCCCTCATCATCTGCCTCAGCATTCAGAAAAGCGGACAGCAGGGGTTGGTCTTATTACCTTTTCAGAGTAACAACACAGATGGTCAGCCAGACAGATAGATTGATGGGGATACATGTGCTATTTATTGCGAGGGGGAGGATAATGACACCACAGCTCAGGTGGTGCAACACACACCGATTATTGTGCTCCATCAGGCTGATGAAATAACATTGTTTAGGTGGCATCCGACCCGCTCCCGGTCCGCCGGGGCCCTCCGAAAGATTACATGTTTTGTTTTCCCACAGCTCGTCCTCACCCTGCGCCCTCCCCCGGCTTACCCAGGATTCCTCTCACCACAAGTGCGTTGGGATGATCTTGCTGGGCCTGTCGCTATGACAACTAGCCGCAAGCGCTCATAGAAAGAACACATCTGTTTCTTGCAGCACAATGCTACTTGTGAGATAGCGCACCTCATAATGACGTAGTGTTCTTTTTCCTTTAACGTACACTCACTGAGTGGGAGATAGTCAGGGAGGTAATGATTTGAGAATTTGATCAATGAACCAAATTACAAAAAATGTTTTGGTTCATGCCCAAGGTGAAGCTCCCAGTTAAACTTTTAAGAGATTCGATAAGAATAGATTCCCAAAGATTCTAAGAACATGTATACTTCCTTTGAACCCAAACAGTCTTGCATGATTTATGCTATACAAAGATTTATGGGCAAGCCTAAACAGGAGACGTGCAGAGAAGGTGCCATCACAGAAACAAGTATGGGCTGAGAGTGATATTACTTCAAGTTTCTCTCACCCTGGACACTGTGGGCAAATGGAACTCCCAAATGCAAGTACACATACAAAGTTGTACATTTACAAGCATGCAAACACACACACAAACACGGCAGATGGCAAAGCATCATGGGGGAGTTTGGCACTTGTTCTCATGCACACACACTTTCCTTCACTCTCTCTTAAACACACAGCCCACGCACACAAAAAAACACACACAGACACACGCACTAAAAATGTTGAGGATCAGAGGCACAGGATGAAGCATGGCTTACTGCAGGCATTAGCTACACTGACGCCTTGGTTGCATTTTTAGCCGAGGAAATAAAATATCTGGAGCTCCTCTCAGACAAGAAAACACACCTGTCACTCAAAAACTGCGTTTCCCTGACTTGAATGTGAATGAGCGTGGAGTCCTGGAACCCTCCACTAAATCTCTATTAGGCTTCCTTAGGCACGCAGGATGCTGAAATTAGGACGGTGGAGGCTCCATACGACATGCATTCAAACAGTGTCATCAGGGGATATATTGACAAATAGCAATAAAATATCTGTCGCTTTTTTTTGTAGGTCTGAAGATATAAACACGATTGCAATGAGTGTATCAAATTGTCCTCTGAATGGTGTGACTCATGGAAACAGCCCCCAAACCTGAAGACTTATGGGGAAAGCTCCTATATGTTCTTATTTATTGTCTGTTCAATTTACTTCCCTCCAGCAGTAACTCAAAGAAAAGTGAGATCTCTGAATAGAAGTCCAGCTACTCAATTATTATCCTGACTACTGTCGTTCTAAACTTATCCATTTTTATATCCATGTGACACTGAATAGAATCATTTGGAGGGTGTAATTTTGGGTCAGGGTTAGGGTTAGAATTATTGGAAAATGTGTTTTTGAAATCAGGAAGAACCCTTTTTTGTCATGCTTTTGGCTGAATGGGAACTTCATTTCAGTTCCATTAATAGAATGTTTGTGGGCTTTTTTCTGCTAACCTTTGTGCATCTGTCTTACTCACAACTGAGGTTTTCAATTTCACTGAGACTTACTTTAAAAAAATTCAAATAAACTTCATTTCAAAACATTCATTTTAATTTCCACATCAGAGTAAGGACATTGAAAAGAATAATGGTGTGAAAACTGCAGAGTATCCTATGTGATACTTTCAGTTTCCACCTGTGTTTCGTTTCTGTATTGTGGTTTGACTCATTGTCTGCTTTCAGATCTCCTTTGGGATGGTAACTTTCATATTTGATTATGTGATCCTCGCAAAGCAGCAAGATTCAATTTTTTAAGTTAAAGTATTATGCTCAAATCTAAAAAAAAATCTAATAACCTAATTTGGATGATGAGTTTTATGAATTGAAAAATATCTCTGCCCACGCTATTCCCTGCTTTTCTCCACCATTTAATTAACTGATCACTTCAAGCTAACTGAATTAATTAACTCTACAATTTGATTTTTGACATTTAGAGAAACATCCCTTTCCATTCAGTCCTACTGTTTAATCGCAGTATTAAGATCCTGTTGCACATCAGCATTTCAGTGAAGCCGCGTGCAAGTACAGCCCTTATTTTCGATAGCTCCATATACGTTTTCGTTCTTTGCTTTTACATGTCAGAGCCAAGCCAATACTTGTATTCAGATGCAGGGGGTTGAGGAAGAAGCGGTACTAGCCGTGACAACTTTTCTGGCCTCAGTCTCTGCCCTTCTAGGACAGAGCAAAGCGGCGCTAGCCCAACAATGGTGCGGCAAATAGACACCCACGCACCTCAAAGTGGCTCCAAGGTCAGACAGAACAACACAACTATGAACGGGCATTGCGTAATAAATGGAACAGCCTCAGATGAGCCCAGCAACAGATGGACTGCATGATGCTAAACAGATATTGTGCTACCATCACGTATCAAAGTACATATAGAGCAGATTATTACAGGGGTCAGAG